AGCTGTGTGACCCTGGGCAAGTCACTTAACCCCATTGCCTAGCCAAAAAAAAAAAATAAGGACAGGAATCCAAGATTAGGAGGGAAGTAGAAAACAGGGAAAGAATTTTTACAACCAGTTTCTCTGATAAAGGCCTCATTTCTAAAATATGTAGAAAGCTAAGTCAAATTTATAAGAATACAAGTCATTCCCCAAGAGATAAATGGTCAAAGGATATCTGATGTATAAGTATGATGTATAAGTAAAGCCTATGTCAAGTCAAAACAGGCACTTTTCAGAGGAAGAAACTAAAGCTATCTGTAGTCATATGAAAAAATGTTCTAAATCACTATTGATTAGAGAAATGCAAATCAAAACAACTCTGAGGTACCACATCACACCTATCAGATTGGCCAAGATGACAAAACAAGACGATGATAAATGTTGGAGAAGATGTGGGAAAATTTGAATACTAATGCACTGTTGGTAGAGTTGTGAACTGATCCAACCATTCTGGAGCGCAATTTGGAGCTATGTCCAAAGGGCTACAAAATTGTGCATACCCTTTGACCCAGCAATACCACTTCTAGGTCTATATCCCGGAGATCACAAAAATGGGGAAAAGAAAGACCTACATGTACAAAAATATTTATAGCAGCTCTTTTTGTGGGGCCAAAGAATTGGAAATTGAGGGGATGCCCATCAGTTGGGGAATGGCTGAACAAGTTGTGGTATATGAATGTAATGGAATACTATTGCGTTGTAAGAAATGATGAACAGGCTGACTTCAGAAAAACCCAGAAAGACTTACATGAACTGATGCAGAGTGAAATGAACAGAACCAAGAGAACATTGTACACATTAACAGCCACATTGTACAATGACTAACTTTGATAGACGTGGCTCTTCACAGCAATGCAAGAATCTAAGACAACTCCAAAAGACTCATAATGGAAATTGCTATCCACATCCAAAGAAATAACTATGGAGTCTGAATGCGGATGGAAGCATACTATTTGCTCTCCTTTTCCTTTGTTGTTTTGTTTTATTGCTTCATTCTTGTGGTTCCTCCTATTAGTTCTAATTGCTCTTTCCATCATGACTAATGGGAAAATGTGCTTAATATGAATGTATAAGTAGAGCCTATATCAGATTGCATGCAATCCTGGGGAGGTGAGAGGAATGTGAGGGGGAGAAAATTTAAAACTCAAAAGCTTATGGAAGTGAATGTTGAAAACTAAAAATAAATTAATTAATTATCAAGGGGAAAAAAGATAAAGACAGGCTAATGAAGACAAGGGAAATTTTATGACACAAGATAGGGAGACAAGGAATTTTATGGTCCAGGATAAGGGGAAGTTTTATGGTGTTTCAAGATAAGGGGAAAAGGACTTTAGGATGCTCTCAAGTTACAGGATGAGCTTCAGAATGAGCCCCCCTTTAGGAGGGGCCTCACAAAGTACTGGGACAGTATATATGTTTCTGGGACAGAAGGGAATTTTGGGGAAAATTATGGTAACAGAAATTGAAGTTCGATCATTTTTTGGTGGTGTCCAACTCTTCACGATCCATTTGGGGTTTTCTTGGCAAAGATCCTGGAGGGGTTTGCCATTTCCTTCTCCAACTCATTTTACAGATGAGGAAACTGAGGTAAATAGGGTTAAGGGACCTGCCCAGGGTCCACAGTTAGTAAGTGTCTGAGGCCAAATCTTTTAATATTCTCTCTAACCCTTAGGGTATTGTTTGTATCCACAGCACTAGCACTGTCAAGATTGGCTGTTTCAACTTCAAGATTAGTTCAGTGTTCAGTTTATAGAGGTGAAGAATCATTCTCTACTTTTCAAAATTAAAAGCAACAAATGAATTGCTATACAGCCCAAAGAATTCTCTCAACAGTTGCATCAAGCATAGAAACTTACACTTCACTGAATCTCTGACGGTCATACTCCAATTTGACAGCCAAAACATTAAAGGCACTCAAAAACATCAGCAGAATTTAAGTTTTCATGACATTAAAACTTTATTGAAAGTTCTAATTTGGTTTCTCTTTTATATTTTAGTGTATATTTAATAGGGTAGTGCTCACGGCTTACTGTAATCATATCCCTTTTATAAAATCCATAAAATTTAGAGCTGGAAGGATTTTGGATATTATCTGATCCAACCTAGCACTTTACATATGAGGAAACCGAAGCTCAATGAAACGAAGTGACTTGTCCCAGGTCATAAAGGTCCTCTGACTCCAAAGTCCATATATGGTCTTTTCACAACCACATAGTACTTTTTTTTTTTTTAAGATTTATTGATGTCTTTTGTTTCCTAAGGGCAGCTAGGTGGAGCAGTGAATAGAGTGCTGAAGATTCATCTTCCTGAGTTCAAATCTAGCCTTAACAAAAAAATAAATTCGGCCTCAGACACTGTAAAATGGGCTGGAGAAGGAAATGGCAAAATCACTCCAGTCTCTTTGCCAAGAAAGCCCCAAAGGGATCATGGAGAGTTGGGCACCACTGAAAAACAATTGAACTTTGTTTTCTATTACCATAATTTTCCTCAAAATTCCCTTCTGTCCCAGAAAGCCACCTCATGACAAATAACATTTTTAAAAACAAAAGAAAAAAGAAACATGAAAAAAAAAATCTGAAAATATGTGCAAATGTATACCTATGAACATCCCACCTCAGAAAAGGTGGAAGTGTCTCCTCATCTCTTGAGCCATACTTGTTCTTTAAAATTTTGCAACATTCACTTTTAAATGTGTGTGTGTATGTATGTGTGTGTTTCTGTTTATATTGTTGTAGTCAATTTGTGTATTTTTTTCTTGGTTCTATTTACTGTACCCTGCATCAATTTGTGTAGATCTTTCCATGCTTCTGTGTGTTCACCTCACTCATTTCTTACAACACAATAATATCCATTACTTTCATATAGTGCAATTTGTTTAGCCATTCCCCAATTGATGGATGTCTGCTTTGCTTCTAGTTCTTTGCTATCATAATTATATTGCTTCTATATTTTGTTCTGTATGAGGACTTTCTTATCAATGGTTTAGTAAGGGAATTTCTAGGTCAAAGGTGTGGGCACTTCACTTTATTTGCACAATTCCAAGTTGCTTTCCAGAATGGTTATACTTATTCACAACTTTACCAACTAGTGTGCCTATCTTCCCACAGCCCCTCCAACATTGATCACTTCTATCTTTGGTCATTTTTACCAATTTGCAGGATGTGAGGTAAAATCTCAAGGTTATTTTTATTTGCATTTTTCTTATTAGTGTTTTGGAGCACTTTTTATATATTTGTCTCACATTACTTTGGTTAATGGCAATTTCAAATTGGCTTCTAAGTCACATAATTTTGGTACTAGCTTTTTTCCTTTCAAACTGTTTCTCAATAAGGGGAAAGGTTGCTTGAACTATTATACAGCTTTGATGAAATTACCCCTGGCGGGTCAGTGGGTAATAAGCTATTCCTTACTGACCACTCATTCTTAATGAATGACACATCTTAAAAAGAATGTTTTGTTCGTTGGGTTTTTCTTTTTTTAAAGATCATCAAAAAGTTTAAAAGTGATAGTCTTCTGCTCGAGTTAGACTATTCACACACACTCACAAGCACACACACACACACACACACACACACACACACACACACCCCTCAGATCTGACATTCCAGCTATCAGCAAATCTTAGCATAGGCAAAGTGACAATTTTCAGAGCTACAAAAGCAATTGCTACTATGTTGACACCAATCAGAGTAGTTGGTTTGTCTGCCCGTTTGTCAAAAGCCACCTTCAGTTCAATGAATAAATGAGTCCTACACACTGTACACTGTGCACTTCAAGTCTTTGCTTTAAATATCCTGCTTTTGCCAACATTCCCTCCTCGATATAAAAACTTGAGTTGCCTAATTATCTCCTATCTTTAGAAAATCTCTGTCTTACTAAACAATACTCCCAGGATGGTATTTGCACTTTCATAACTAATTGGTAAAAACATTGGCGATAAATCTGACCAGAAATGCCTGTCCTTTGTCCACTTGGCAGAGCTGTGCTAGGCTCTTCCCAAGGCAAGAATAAGGGACTGATGGGCCAAAGAAGGTACCTTTCCATCTGTTGACAGAACTCCTACTCCTTATGTCTCCTAGCAGGTCTCTGTGAATTGCATGTAGCACAACCAATGAAATACATAATGACTTACATTTATATAGTGGCTTAACGTTGAAAGTTATCTTCTTTATACTAATCATGTGAAGTACTCCAATTATTTTCGTTTTTACAGATGAAGAAATTGAGGTGCAGAGAGGTTAGATATATACATGGTTCCAAAACTAGTTATCAGAAATGGAATTCAAACCCAGGTTTCCTGGGTCCAAGTCTGGTGCCCTTCTTACTACTCCAGTGTTTCCAGTTAAGCAAGCCAAAGCTATTCCACATGTACCTATATAACTTATGGCTCTAAGACTCTGGCCATCTGAATTCATATCTCTTATGAAGAGAAGCACTTTCCTAGTATTTGAGTATTAGCAGGTTCCCAAATTGTCATGTACACAAAAAAAAGTCCAATAACACACTGGATCTGGAATTTCTTCAGCTTTCTAAAGCAGTGGTTTTCTAAAGCCTAGTGATCCCTAGGCCATAACATCTTGGACCCAGGAATCCATATGCATACAAAGTGCGCCATTAAAAATAATTGTAAATCTTTTAGCTCTAGCAGAATATAAAGAAAGGGAGGCTTGGTGTAAGTGAACGCCTCCGAATTAGGAAGACCTGGTTAAAGTCAGGCCTCTTAACACCTACTTGCTATGTGACCTAGGTGAGTTACAAACTCTCAGTGGCCCAGAAAGCTAAGACTATGTTACCAACTAACTGCGAAGTCTGCATTCGCAGAAAGAGCTTACACACTTCACACTTGTGGCTCCCTACTCCCATAGTCACAGGTCTGGATCTTCCTCCCCTAACAACAACAACAAAAGTTAGCGTGGCTAAGTACAACAGATAAGAACACACAGATTTTGCAGACCGTATAACATATGTGCTTTTTTTATTCCTTTATTCTGAACTTCAACACCGAGCAAAATGAGCATTTCTGTATACATGGTATTCTCACATATGAATTAGTATTTTTCAAATGTATATAGATTCTGTAATTAAAATACAAATTCATTTTAAAAGGTTATTGGATTCATAAGTAGCTTTTTTCATAATTTCTTCAATCAAGGGAATGATTTCATGGGTCCTTTAAATGTGATACCAAAAAGGATCCTTCATATTTAAAAAGCTTGAGAGCTATCAAATTATTCATAATTAAACTTTGCCTCAAAAATAAAAAAGATTATAACTATCTCAGAGCTGAGGCTCGTAGATTCTAAGCCACTCACCCCAAATCTGAGTTTAAAAAACCAAATATGTAGGTTTTTTTTGAATTCCAAAATGAACCACAAAGTAAGGAATATAGGGCATTTTTTGTCTTGCAAATATGCAAAGCCTGGATAAGAATTCTAATTACTTTTAAAGTAAAATGGATGTTTTGTATTTTGTTTGTCCCAGCCTACAATTTCATTGCTATAAGGTTATCTTGGTGAAGAATTTTCCCCTACTAATACAGATCAATAGCTACTCAGCAATGTATAGTCCTAAAAACTGGCGCAGACTCTGAGAGTTTTAGTGACTTGCTCTGGTCCATAGTGCGGGGGGGGGGGGGGGGGGTGCGCGCAGAACAATAGAATCCAGGCCTTCTTGAAGGGGTTCTATCCACTGTGTAAGTTCTCTCTTTACTGAGTGGATATATGGATGGCTAAATTAATCCATTTAAGGGAAAAAACAAAGCCATGCTGTCACACTACTATTTTCAATGCACTTTAGTATGCAATTTTTATTTGATCCCAACATTCCTGAGGTAGCTTAGTGTTCTCACTTTACAAATGACGTTTAGACACAAAGCTTCTATGTACTCAGTGTCAACAGGAAATAACAGTCTAACTCCCAAAGCCAGATGTAGTGTTTCCCATGATCATAATAATACAGAACATACTGCAACATAACTCAGATTGGTTTGTTTTACAGTATGGTGCTTCCATCAGTCCAAATGACTGGCCATCTGTTGTAAGTTCTTTCAACTAACTTTGTTGAGTAGCCAAACTGATAAGTTAGTACAGATAAAATAAGAATTTGCATGTGTTACAAATGACTTTTCTTTTTACAGTGAAAATTACAAACTATAAAAAAAAAGAGGACAAGTAAATCTTGGCTCTTAATGTTTCAAAGGGGCAAGATTTAACACATCACACTGAAGAACAATATGTATTTGGGTTTGAGAACAAGAATTTAATGTTACAATATTATACACTACTTTACAAAATTAAAATTTACTATAAGGATTACATTGTAATATGGAACAAAAACATAAAATCACATTTGATGGTCCCCTAGATAATAGCTGTTATGCATCTTTGATTATTGTTAAATGAATAAATTTTATTCTAATTATTACAAAACAGTCTATTAGACTCAATATATTAAATTAAAAATAATGAAAATATATGCAAATTAAGATTACTGCTTTTGACTGAATGCTAGTAAGTCAAACTTATAGATATATTATTTTTAAAATCCCAGAAACTAGAAAAATAGAGTGCATTTGCTGTGGTAGGACTGTCACTGCTCCAGAACAGGTAACAAACTTGCTCTTGCTTGTTACCTTTAGCAGTTGTAGAGCTATAGAAAATGCAAGCATTTCTAATAGTTTACAGCTACATTGAAAAATATGGCATTGTGTAAATATTGGTGTGTTTTACAACATCAAAATGTAATGGAAGATGAGACAGTAGGTCAGGTGCCCACTATTGGGAATAAAATTAAAAAGGAAAATTTCATATTGCAAAGAATAATTACCTAAGTATCAACAATTCCAAAAGCATTCTGTCTCCAAGAGCATTCATTCATTCATTCACTGTTTATAGAAATTACAGACCAAACATGGAGAATGCTAAATGGAATATTCATTATGACCCATGGATTGAAAGTTATAATTATTCTAGTTCACACATAAATTGGACAATATCTAAAATAGGAGTTAAAAAAATAAGTAGATTTGTGAAATATGCTAATAAAGCATGTCAAGCAAATAAGAACCATTCCCACTGTAGGGATGTTTGAGGCAAAGGAGGATTTCTCTCCCTAGAAGGATGTACCTCCCACCCTGGAAGCTTCTTCTTTAACTTCTCAAAGGGTTTTAAAAAATAAAATAATGTGCAATTCTTATTTTTATAAGAATTTTAGTTCTTTTGAGAAATGTCAACACATGATAAGGTGAAATGAATTTTATTACAGAGGAAAAAAAACTTCTATTTTGTTATAATTTGAAAGCTATTACACACCAAATTTAAAAAATCATAAATTATACATTGGTAAGAATTTTCGCAAAGCTTCCAGTACAATGGACTTGAATAGTGAGAATAGAGCCTGACATTGCTTGGGGATGGCATAGGTTTCTTCAGAAATAATACAATTATGTTTAGTTTTTTCTGATCCAACTTGAAAACAGCAGCTCTATTCCCAGGTAAAACCTATTTTTTTCCTTGTATCAAGGCAACTCAGTTAAATTTAAGTACAGCTTATACTGATATAAATCTTAACTATTACTATTCCATTTGGTGATCAACCTAGGCCAACATTGTAAACACATTTATATTCCATTAATATAAAAAAGCTTCTGCTGAGTATTAATAAAAGGAAACATCATTTATTAATGAGTTGTTACTCACAAGGAAAGATGAATTTGTGAAAAATCCTTGAGTCAAATTCTTTAAATTAATATTTATCATTGCATTTTAAATATATAGATGCACATTAACTAAATAAGTAAACAAAATGCCTTGAATAGTTTTGGCTTCAATATTTCCTTTGCTGAACTGAAACCCATAATTTCTGAGCAAGTCCTGAAAGCAGGCCTTTTAAAAAAATTAACTTCATTAAATAAAATTTATGAAAACTTAAAAAAATCCACTGAATCATAATCTATTCATGCTTTAATAAATTTTCATTTCCAAGAATAAAATTATTTATGCACTATTTCCAATTTCATCATTCATACTCCCAAAAAAGTTTCTGGTGCATTTCAAACAATATTAAACATTTGATCTTTTTCATTCATCCATATTTCATCAAAAGATTATTTTTATTTTTCATTATATGCCAGAAAGTTGATGAAATACAAGAGAGACCAGAAACATATCAAAAAATAACTCACAAAGGATCAAGAACATTAAAGATTCACATCTCCCTAATATAGAGGCATTACTCTTTCTCCTTATTAGGAAAAAAAAAATCACAATATTTATGCCTACTGAGCTCAGATTATTTTCAATGCAGAATAAGGCTGAATATACAGTCGAGTCTTACTGCAGCCAAATCAAATAAACACTTAATTATAGTTTTTGCTGCATCAGGGCTTTGTCCTTCAAGTATAAAGAATACTGATGGATTTAAAAGCTTGAATGTACTACTTCATATTTCCCTCTTGAACTAAGAAAAAGTTAATATTAGTTCTATTTAACATGATAACTTTTTTTTCTAAAAAAAAAGGGAATAACAAAGGTTTTCAAATATCCATTTACTTTATCAGTGGATTAAACTTTTTATTTTTCTTTAAAGGTCTTATCAGTGGATATAACTTCCCTGAAACACTTAAGTCATGTGAGGTTTTAATTGTAGCAGCAAAAAATTCAGCAAAAATAAAAAATAATATACATTTTGAGCAACAGAGAAGTCTTTATTTTACAAAATGTAATTTGCCTCAATATTATCTTTAACTTACTTCAGTCTACAACCACTCAAACATAATTGGCAGCAAATAAAAAGGTGCCTAATCATATTTAGATATATTTTGATTTGAAAAATACAGTATCTTTAGATGCATGTTTGATTTTCTTTTGTGGTCCATTATTTGCTGAAGTTTGTTGAAAATCACAGTGAAAATATCTTAACCATCACACTAGGCCACAAAATTAATAAAAAAAGTTTTTTTCAAAAGAGGGCATTACAAGCTCAAGTGTTCTCAACTCTAATGATTTTCCTTGGGAAAAGTTGATCCACATTCTTCATTTGTTCATTTATTTACTTGCTGTTGTACATGCAGGAGAAACTCATAATATGATAAGGCAGATTCTGTTCTGTCTTCTACCATGTACTGAAGGAAAGTTGCTTTCATCGGACTCTCATCCCTAAGAAATAAAATGAGAAAATGTGTGATTTCATTTATGATTTAATTAATGATAACAACAGCAACAATAATATAAATAACAATAATTAGAAATAAATTCAATCCAGCATAAGCCATTTAAATTATTTTAGTAAGTACCATTATTATACCTTGTGTACAGTTATTTCAAGGTATTTTTTCTGAATAACAATTCCATGATAATGAAAACCCCACAATTTGTAGAAATAGGTATTAGAACTGTCAGGCCTAATATGCTAGCAAAAATGTCAAATGTAAAGTTACTTAAACAGTCAAGAGTTCCAACATTTGAATTATTATTCAACTACTTTATATCTATTCTGTATATACCATGTGTCAGTTGTCTCTCCTATTGAAATGGAAGGTCTTTGCAAGTACAGATTGTTTCATTCATTGTAATCTTATCACCAGAGCCTAGCATATATACTAGATGCTTAATAAATACTTGTTAATAACTGATATATTAAGATAATATTTATCTTTCATAGGATGAATAATTTTCTTTTCTCAATGTCTTCTTTATTACTCTAAACGGTATTTTTGCAGCAATCGATTACAATAATATTTCTGACCTAAAATTCAAGCTCTTATAAGGTACAATTTCCATGCTCAAATAACAAAAAGGAATAAAAGAAATCTAGCTTACCTTATTATATAAAGTACTGGAAAGAATGGCCTATGTTCTCTAAGCCATGAGATAAAACCTCCTATTCTTGCAGATTCTGCTGTATTAAGGTCTGGAAGGTATGTCTGGTGAATAAAGATCAAGCAATCAATTGATAGACTTGCATTTAATAAGCTACTACTATGTTCCAGTCATCCACTGTACTAAATACTAAGCACAGAAAGAAAGGCAAAAACACAGTTCCTGCTCTCAAGGAGCTCACAGTTAATAGAGGAGACAATATATAAATGACTATGTCAAAAAAAGATATACATAGGATAAACTGGAGACTTAGAGAAGGAAAGTATTAGCTTTAAGGAGGACTGGGAAAGGCTTCTTGTAAAAAGGGGAATTTTAGCTGAGACTTAAAGGAAGCCAAAGAAACCAGAAGATAAAGATGAAAAAGGAAAGAATTCCAGGCATGAGGACAGCCAGCGAAAATGCATGGAGTCAGGAGATGGAGTATTCTGTTTGAGGACAAGCAAGAAGGTCAGTGTTACTAGATTGAAAATTGTGTATGTCTACGTGTATATCAATGTATGTACATGAAGATTGGAAACGTGGGGGAAAGGGGAAAATTATAAAGAGTTTTGAATAGCCAACAGAGTATTTTATATTTGATCTTGGAAGTGACAGGGAAACACTGAAGTTCTGTGACTAAGAAGCCACTGGATTTTGTTAAGTAGGAGGTGACATGGTTAGACTTTCACTTTAGGAAGGTCAATTTGACACTTCAGTGGAGGATGGACTGGAGTGTGAAAGAGACCTGAGGCGTGGAGACCAACCGAAGGGCTATTGTAATGATGTAAGTGTGAGGTGATGAGTGCCTGCACTGGAGTGCTGGCAGTGTCAGAGGAAAGAAGGAAACTTATAAGAGAGATAGATGTTACTAAAGTAAAACAGATCGCCTTTGGAAACTGACTGGATATGGAGAAGTGAAAGAAAGTGAGTATTGAGGATGTTACCTAGGTTGCAAGCCTAGGTGACTGGGAGAATGATGGTATTCTTAACAGTAATAGGAATCTTGAATTTACTTCTCACGTATATCCATATATATAACATACTCTTTACCTTAAAGAATACTGATTTTTGATCTATTAAAGCTATTAAATCTAGAACAAGTGATTCATTCAGTAATTTCTTCATAATGCTATATTACAAATAGAATCACCATTCTCAGTTGCTCAGGGTTATTTCAGCATACACAGTACCCTCAGTTTTTCTTCCAGAGACTGGAAGAACTTACTACCTTTCTGGATGACTTTGTTGTTGTTTGTCCTTCATTTTCAAAGAGGACCAATGAATGACATCATGGGTGATGTCTTGACTTCTGAGTGAACTGGATTTAAGTGAGGCAGAGTTACACAAAGTTGTCAGCCTCACTCGCTCTTTTAGAGTCATTTAAGTCCAGTGACAACACAAAAATCAAAACAACTGGCTATCACCCACTGCACCCAGGGATGAAGTGAATAACTTTGGCATCACTGATGTCTGACCAAGCTTTAAGGACTCTACAATGCCTTCTTCGGCCACCTTCATGGCCACTGGAACAAACTGTTCTCATCAACTCATTCTGCCAGGGAAAGTCTTTACTTGCTTGGGGTAGACAGAGACCTGTTAGTTACCCTCAACCTGGTTTAGCTTGACTGCCAGGCTAGGGCTGCTGTGAGTGCTATAGCTTCTTGGAGCCACAGAGGAGAGTTGCGTGAATCAGGTGGACACCAAAGATAGATGAGCAGGCCTGAAAAGGGACTGGTAAGGCCTCACACCAGAGGTGCTAGTCCTATTGAACATTCCATATGCCCATGGATGACTTAATATATATCAAACAACAACATTTGAATAATAAAAGTGGTGGTAAAATCATCCAGGTTCTACAATGATGGGAATTATATATTATTGACTTGAAAATACTAGAGGTTCACACATTTTATAGCATCCATCTAAATTAAAACACAATTTGAATATACTACCTTTCCTCCAAATATCCTCTGAAGTTGCACAACTGTGTCAAATCTTGGAGTAATATTTACTTGTGGCAATTACCCAATTTGTTTCCCTCAAACAGCAAGTAAGACGATTCACTGAATGAGGCAATAACAGTACATGACTCCTCTTAAAAGGAATTTTAAGATGCAATCTTACTAGCTATCATGGTAGCAGGCTTACTTAAACAGTAACTAGATAAATTTCTTTTTGCCCAGTTTCCCAAAATCTTATATTATGTTCCACATGGTACATGTGGTTTAGCTTGACTGCCAGGCTAGGGCTGCTGTGAGTGCTATAGCTTCTTGCAGCCACAGAGGAGAGTTGTGTGAATCAGGTGGACCCCAAAGATAGATGAGCAGGCCTGAAAAGGGACTGGTAAGGCCTCACACCAGAGGTGCTAGTCCTACTGAACATTCCATATGCCCATGGATGACTTAATATATATCAAACAACAACGTTTGAATAATAAAAGTGGTGGTAAAATCATTTTAAATACATGAGAAATAGTTACACATCAGTTAAGGTAAATGATCTAAAGAATACATTTAAATTTTCATCAACTGCTACTGCTGAAATAATTTCTAATAGAAACAAACATTTAATATTAGCAGAGAAGTATGATTCTTTTCTGATTTTAAAACAGACAAATATGGCATAAATTTGAATTGCTCTTTAGGTGTTATAGCACTACATTGAAACATTCTTACCATATTCAGTGGTAGAGATGCATAGTTTGGAACTCCAAGAACTTGGCTGAGAAAATTTTGTCCACAATTTTTTCCAACCCACAACATCATTACCTAGCAATTAGGAAGAAAATTCATTTGGTGCATATTAGTATACTGAATCTGCTCATGCAAACATTTGCCATTTTAAGTGACTATATGAGATGTATGACCAAAATGCATGACAGTATGACTATTCCATTTAGTCAGATTATGGACAAATCAGACTACTCACAGTGCCTGCATCCATAAGGAAAGCTCCATCCCTGCTCAACTTCTCCGCAGATAGCTGCAGAATAGGTGGCTGAGGTATAGTTTTATCATTGATGTTGAGGGCTCCCTAAAGGGTTAAAAAAACAAAAACACCCAACACAGTCAGTAGGAAAAGATTCTATCTAGATCAATTAATCAAAACAAATTTTTTTCTGCTTTTTGACCAGGCAATGTGGTTAAGTGACTTGCCCAGGGTCACACAGCTAGTAAATGTCAAGTGTCTGAGGCCAAACTTGAACTCAGGTCCTCCTGACCCCAAGGCTGGAACTCTATCCACCTAGCTGCCCCTAAAAAACATTCTATTAGGCACATACTATATGCCAGGGACTATGCTAGGTCCTGGGGATATAATGACAAAAATCAAACAGTTCCAGACTTCAAGGAGCAAGAGACAATACAAATACACATACACTAACTTTCTGTGCTTAGAGGGTACTAGTAGCTATGGGGATAAGGAAGGGCTTTGTGAAGAAGGTGGTGCTTTAGCAAAGTTTTGCATTTAGCAAGAGATTCTACGAAGACCAAGGAGCCAGTGCATTTTAGCCATGTCCGATAGCTACTACAAAAGTGTAGAAATAGGAGATGAAGATGGATGTGATATGGATATACTATTAAGCAAAAGGTGTCTCCCACTTTCTTATTTGCTGAGGTGGGGGGTTTGGGGTATGGACACTACATATACTGTCATACTTGGCTACTGTGTTAGTTTTGCTGAAATGCCCTTTTCTTTTTTTATTCTTTGTTTCCATACAGTGATAGCTTACAGGCAAATGGGGTTTAGAAAAGTGATATATTTAGAAATAAAAGTGATGTGATAAACTCCAAATTGGTACAAAAGGTCACATCAGTAAGCAAATCAAAAGAATGAGAAAATATCTTTTCCCATTATGGAATTCATGATCAGACACAGATAGAATGATCATATAACATAAAATGGACATATGATTAAAATAAGTGAGACATTTTTATACAATCAATTCAGATAAAATTAGAAGAGAAATTGCTGAATGGAGAAAAAAATCTTTGTAGCAAATTTCCCTGATAAAGGTTTGATATTCAGAATACATAATGAGCTAATTAAAATATTTAAGAATGACAAGTATTCCCCAATAAATAAATAAAGGATATGAACAAACTGTTCTTAAAGTAGGAAATATAAGTAATCAACAGTCATTCTTCCAATTATTAATAATTATAGAAATACAAATTAAAACAACTCTTCGGTTCCATGCCAGAAAAGGAAAAATAAAATTGTTGGAAAGGCTGAGAGAAAACAGGTCCACTGCTGCTGTGAATTGGCCCAACAATTCTATAAAGTAATTTGGAATTATGCTAAATGAGTTACTAAACTGTGCATATCCTTTTAACCCAGTGATAACAATATTTGACTTATTCCCTTAAGAGATTAAGGGAAGAGGGAAAAGACCTACATGTACAAAAATATCTGTTAACTGCTCTTTGTTGAAGCAAAGAACTGGAAACAAAGGGAGTGCCCATCATTAGGAAATGCTTAATAAGTTATGGTATATAAACATAACACAATAATTTTGTGCTGGAAATGAAGGTGATGTAAAAGCCAAAAAATACCAATAAAAGTTTAAAATTAAAAAAACCCTACTACTAATATGCCTAACTCCTCTCATCTAATAATCTTGAGACTAAATAAAGAGCCTTATTTACCTCATAAATAAACTACAAATATTCAAATACAGTTAAAGTTAGGCAGCGAAGTGATACTTGAAAGAAACCTAAAAAAGATCATGTAATCCAACCTCCCAATTTTAAAGGAAGATACTAAAACCCAGGGAGGCAAAATGACTTGATGAATGTCACACACATATAAAAAAGGACTATTTTCCTGGCTGAAGTTATTCTATCTTCTAAAGTCAAATCAACTGCTGCTATTAATTTGTATCTTAATAAGTTGAAATAACTAAAAACATTAATGTTTATATTGTGACATTCAATTAGTAAACCAGAAGTGGTAATTTTTCATTCGTCTTTAAATTATTAAATATAAGGACAAAGGGGTGTGTGTGTGTGCGTGTGTCTTAAAGATACTAGTATTACCCAACAACAAAGGATAAAAATTTCTTAAATATCAAAAATGAAAAAAGTTTATAAATGTCAAATGTCTCTCTACAAATACAAGTAAGCTTAATTAAATCTAATAAATTTAAATACAGGATTGTCCTATGGTTACTATTTCAACAAAATTTTTATAATTCTATTAAAAGTATCATTAGTGTTTTCTTTCTTTCTTTCTTTTTTTTTTGTATTTTGCTAGGCAATGGGGTTAAGTGACTTGCCCACAGTCACACAGCTAGTATTAAGTGTCTGAGGCCGGATTTGAACTCAGGTCCTCCTGACTCCAGGGCTGGTACTCATCATTAGTGTTTTCTAATTTCTAATAAGCCCCCTCAAATGTAACTAGCCCTTCTCCTTTTAATTACATGGAAATGAAATAGCTGATTGAAAATATTTGTGTTAGACTTAGGATATCTTTATAAACACCAATAACATTAATCAAAGATATCCCATTTTCTTTAAGGCAAATTAATGCCATAGCCTTTAAAATTGGTTTTCCTTAATTCATGGACCCTATTAGAACAATCTACAATGACTGACCTTATCATGACAATTAAATACTTGATAATTTACATATATCAAATCAAGCCATTTTTTGGAGAATTCTTAAATGACAACTATAATATGAAGTATTACTTAAACAAGTGACTAAACCAAATTTTGAGTCTTCAGAATTCTTAAAGCAGAAATTTAAGTTTAAAATAAAAAAAGGAATGAAATCTTCATTTCTTCTTTGGATTCATTATTAAGACTTATGAATCCATGGACTAAAGTAATTAATGGGCAAACTCACCTCATCTGAGAGATTGTCAACTCTATACAGATTGGGATGGGTCATGAGCATGAGGTAAACCAGGGGGCTGATTTTTCACTTGACACATAGCAAAAATACGTTCATCTAGACGAGCACTAGTCCCAGTTTGGAATGATTTCTGTGAACAGAACATATCAAATCCCCCCACACCAAAAAATAAAAATTAACTTACATTTGTTAAACACAGATGGAAGAGATTTTTCAAGACTTAATGATAAGAACCATCAGAAGGTACCGGGCATTTATTTTTTACTTATTTGAATAAGCTTTATCAGCAAGTCAAATCTGACCATTGTTAGTAGTCACAGTCCTATAACAGCTATGAATTATGTATTGACATCAGACAAATAATTTGACTTGTCTCCATTTCCTCATCTGCAAAATATCTACTATAAACCATTTTATCTGACTCACTATGAGAATCTAATAATAAAATTAGGAGTTTCATAGCTCTTGACAGAACTGACAGATGAAAATATGAAGATGAGGAAAAGAAAGCAGGCAATTTAGGTTATAGGTGGTAGACCTAAACTAAGGTTGTGAATAAGAAAAAGGAGAGGTCAAGCATAGAATGCATACATAATACACATACAAATGTTTGTATATACATGTAAATGACATATATTTACACAACTATATCAGAAGATCTTGTTGTATGATTATGGGGGTCCTTTAGGGAAAGCACTTCTTATACTGAAGGGGTTGTGAGAGGAAAAAGTTTAAGAAGCCCTGCTTTAGGGCAGATAGGAGAAGTACAGGGAATGAAAAAAAAAGGAATCTTAAAGTAACTGAGACTACAGGTTTAAGAAGATGACTCTACTGGTAACAGGGAAACTGAAAAGAATAATGATTTGAGGCAAAGTAAAGATAATGAGCATAGACTGCTACATATTAAGATCCAGGCGATAGCAAAACATACAAGTTATAGACTATAAAGAAATGGAAATATCAGTTTGGGAGAAAGTAAGAAATCAAGACAAAGCATGTGGATTCTCACATACAAGATGAAGGTTTAATTCAAATACAGAAAGAACGGAGGATGCCAGAATGAATGCTGGGAAAAGTGAACCCTTAATGGTTTGATAGGTAAGCAGGGGTAGCAAAAAGGAGGCACAGAGTGTTGCCATAAGATTAAGAGTAGACCAGTGCAGTATTATAATTGATAAAAAGGTATAAAGAATTAAATGGGGTATGGGGCAGCTAGCTGATGCAGTGGATAGAGCACCGGCCCTGGAGTCAAGAGGACCCGAGTTCAAATCCTGCCTCAGACACTTAATACTCACTAGCTGTGTGACTGTGGGAAAGTCACTCAACCCCACTGCATAGCCAAAAAAAAAAAATTAAATGGGGGAAATGGGAATGGGTGGGGGAAAGGTGCTAACAGTGGCAAAATACTGTTAAAGAAGGATAAGAAAGAGAGGATTCCAGATTGGTTAGACCTGATGATCAATGAGCTAAGCTAATTGTTTGGAATTGGCAGATCAAAGGTCATAATGAAAAAAGCAAGCTGAATACAAGTATAGAAGTGACAAGTCAGTAAACTGTGGTCTGAGCTGAGTACCAAAATATAGAAGATAAAAATAAAAGGGCTGTTAGAATCATTCATGAATTGACCAATTCATCAGAAATACAAATTGTAAAGGATTTAGAAGATAAAATGAATTTTGTGTGTGTGATTAAGGACTGCCAATTTGAAAATTTATCGTCAGTGTGAGGCTCCTCACACTTGGTATTGAGCTTCATGAAGAAAAGTGAGAATAGGAAATATGGACACACTAGCAAAGTAAGAACATTTGCTATAAAGAAAATATAAAAAATCACTAATATGAAACATGTATTAGCTATCCATCCCCTTTAACTTTTCTATTTCATTCTTACCTGTTTAAGAAGAGCTAACACAAAAAGTGGGAAGAGACGTAAAGAAAAGGGAACCAAGAGACCAGGCTGCTGACTATTTAGGACTGAAGTGCGGTAAGCAGACAGAGAATCTATTACGGCATTCACAAGGGCATCACGAGCATCACTCAGACTGGCAGTAGTGGATCTGTCAACAGCTGAAAAGAAAAAGGAAAGAGAGAAAGGGAAAGATTATAGCAATCACACGATCAGTATTAAGGGGTGATCATTGAAAAATTAAATTTCCTAAAGAGCATCTTTTGTGGAGAGAGGTAGGGAGGCGAAATTTTTTTTTTAAAGCAAACTGCAACTAGTATGTTGTAACACTTTATGGAGTTAGGTGGATGGACATAACTCTTTTGTTGGGCTCCACAGAAGAAAAACACGTTTAAAAGCAACAAAGATAGGCAAAATGTAACCATCCACTATTATATGTAGAGTGGATAGAATCCCAATTGGAGAAAGCAAATTATGCAGTCTTTCCCAGAGCAGAAAAGAAGGATAAAAAAACCACACTATGGAGGAAGGAGCAAATAGGATAGGTAGATGTCTGGACCATTGCCTTGCTCTGCTACTATTAATAAAACATGGGTCTTCGTAAAAAAAAAAAAGTTTCATATCAATAAACTTGTCTGTAGAGGGAGTTGTTAAAGTGTTTCAAAACTTCTTTCATCAGTGGTCTATGGGAGGTAACATGATCTGGTAATACAAAAGAACGTCTTTATATTCTCCAAAAATAACCATTTCGGGGTTTGTCCAATGATACTACCAGAATATTATTACAGTTTATTCAACTATTCTTACCCATATTTGCCAATAATCCTGAAATTGCTTGAACATCAGCTCCAAGGTAGACTTCATTCAGTGTTGAAACTACTGGTAAACACATAGTATGCACACGAATCCTCCTTTCACCTTTGGGAAAAAAATGCAAATAAAAGTATGACACAAGTAACTTAGAAATAAGATACTGGGAATGGAATTAATTCTCATGATTAGATTTAGTGCCCATCCTGAAGTACAAAAACTACTCAGTCTTTGATAAGAAGAAAATTAAGGATTTAGTTTTTTTCTTAATTACAATTTGTGCTGTTTATCCACTGTGCGTAGTTAAGCTGATTTCTACAGACTTTATAGGGTGTCCTTGGCAGTACTCCAAGGTTCAATGTAATTATAACAACTTAAACAATAGTGTTTAAAGGAATTCACCAATACAGTTCTACTTGGGTATCATTTGGGACATTTTCCATGATCCTATTTAACTCTTTAAATAAGTCTATGGCTTTCTTTTTCATTCCTTGCTTCTTGTTGATACTCAGCAGATCATAGTCCCATCTGTCAGGTAATCTTATATAATTTTAATGTTATGTGTGGAGAAAAAAACCTTGTTTGAGACAAGGCTGCATTTTGTTCTTTTGAGTCAAAAGTTTTCTTGAAATTAATAAGGCACAATAGGATCATTTACTCTTTGCATCTCTTAGTTATTTGTGAAAAAGTAGTCTAGTAAACTATAAGCAAAAGTAATGATACCCTCAATGCATAAGATATTCTCATAAAAATTTTGGAGGTAAAAAAGCAAGCTTATAGGGCAGTATTTTCTCAGTTTACATGCATGTAGTAAGATAGACTTTAAAGATTTAGTTGCAAACATGAAGACAAAGTTAATATTTAATCTGCATAACTGAACTTTTGCCTTACAAATGGACCCATCAACAGACAGGGCTAGACTTGATATTTTGCTTATATCTAGCATCAGTACTAGCTAATCACTGAAGATCCTGATGTTAAAATACTCAAAGTGCTGAATAACTTTTTTGAATTTCATGGTTTATTTTGGAACAATGTGTTGATATTTATACTAATAGTAGAAAAGCAATGGTGGGTACCAATGCTGGCACCTTAGCATGAATCAAAATAGTGACACAAAATTGTACTAGTAATCACTGAATTCTTCACCACCAATCACAGTAAAAAAAAATACCAATTTTACTTAAGAATGTCCTTGATGAAGCAACGAAAATTATTAAATCTTGACCCCTGAGTACATGTCTTTTTAACATCTTGTGTGACAAAATTGAAAGTGTACATAAAGCTCCTCTGCTACATACTAAGGTATGATGGCTGTATTGGGGAAAAGCACTGGTATGACTGAGCTGCAAGCTGAACGAGCCGTTTTTATCATGGAACACCATTTTTGCTTGAAAGAAAACTATGGCTACTCCAAGATGAATTTGGCAGATATTTTCTTGAAAATGAATGAGCTAATAAACCTGTCACTTCAACGAAAACACGCATCAATATTTGTTGCCAATAATAAAATTTGAGTTTTCAAGTGACAATTAAAATTTTGGAAAACCTGTATCCTCCACCATGAGCTAGACAGTTTTTACTTAGAGACTTTTCTGATTAGATCAGAGGTGATATTAATGAATACGATTTTTTTAAAAGTTGCATATTGAAATATGTCAACATTTGGAAGAGCTATATAACTTAGTGAGCCAATGTCTTCCAAATGACCAAATGCATGTTGCAAAATCATCTATTGGTAAAAGGTCCATTGAAAGTATAAGATAGGAGGAGCTAGGTGGTACACTGGATACGGTACCGGCCCTGGAGTCAGGAGGACCTGAGTTCAAATCCAGAAAAAATGGTCATTCAATGAGAAAGAGGACATTCAACGAGAAAGAGGACTTCCAAGAACTAATGATGAAAACAGCAGAGCTGAAGAGAAAATTTCACTTTCAAACAGAAGACTCAAGAGAAACATAAAAAGGTAAACAGGAAAGAGAAATCATAAAGGACTTAATACGGTTAAACTGTTTACATTACTATGTGGGAAAATGATACTTGTAACTCATAAGACATTTCTCATTATTAGGGTAGTTAGAAGGAGTATATAAAGACAGAGGGCACAGGTGTGAGCTGAATATGAAGGGACGCTATCTAAAAAATAAAAGAATGGAAGAGTTATATACTGGGAGAAAGAGAAAGGAAAAGGTAGAATGGGGTAAATTCTCTCATATAAAAGAGGCAATAAAAAGCTTTTACAGTGGAGGGGAAGAGGGAGGAGGTTGGGGGAGTGAGTGAACCTTACTCTTATCAGAATTGGCTCAAAGAGGGAATAACATACACACTCAATTGGATATAGAAATCTATCTTACCCTACAGGAAGACAGGAAGGGAAGTGGATAATCAGAGAGGGGAGATGGTGACAGAAGGGAGGACAGACTGGGGGAGAAGGTAGTCAGAAGCAAAACACTTTTGAAGAGGGACAGGATGAAAGGAGAAAGAGAATAGAATAAACAGGGGAGGGTGGAGTGGGGGGGATAGAATGGAGGGAAATACAGTTAGCAATAGTAACTGTGGAAAAAATTTTGAAGCAAGTTTCTCTCATAACAGCATCATTTTTCCAACATATAGAGAACTGAGTCAAATTTATAAAAATAAGAGCCATTCCCCAATTGATAAATGATTAAAAGATATGATCAGTTTTCAGATGAAGTAATCAAAGCTATCTACAGCCATATAAAAAAAATACTCTAACTCACTATTGATTGAAGAGATGCAAATTAAAACAATTCTGAGATACTACTTCATACCAATTGAATATAAATGGGCTAATAGGAAAGAAAAGGAAAATGGCAAACGTTGGAGGGGATGCGGGAAAAATGAGACATTAATGCACTGCTGGTGGAGTTGTGAACTGATTCAACCATTCTGTAGAGCAATCTGGAACTGTGCCCAAAGGGCTATAAAACCATGCATAGTCTTTTTTTTGTGTGTTTGTTTTTGCAAGGCAATTGGGGTTAAGTGACTTGCCCAGGGTCACACAGCTAGTGAGTATCATGTGTCTGAGGCCAGATTTGAACTCAGGCCCTCCTGACTCCAGGGCCAGTGCTCTATCAACTGCGCCACCTAGTTGCCCCCCCATACACTATACCACTACTAGGTCTGTATCCCGAAAGAGATTAAAAAAAAAAAAAGGAAAAGGACCTATATGTACAAAAGTATTTATAGCAGCTCTTTTCCGGGGGCAAAGAATTAGAAATTGAGGGGATGCCCACCAATTCAGGAATGGCTGAACAAACTGTGGCATGTGATTATTACGGAATACTATTGTGCTATAAGATATGATGAGCAGGACACTCTCAGAAAAACCTGGAAAGATTTGCATGGGCTGATGCAAAGTGAAATGTACTGTGCACAAGGTAAGAGCAATATTATAAGATGATCAGCTGTGAATGACTTAGCTATTCTCAGCAATACAATGATCCATGACAACTCCAAAGGACTTTTGAAAAATGCTATCCAGGGGCAGCTAGATGGCGTAGTGGATAAAGCACCGGCCCTGGAGTCAGGAGGACCCGAATTCAAATCCAGTCTCAGACACATAACACTATTTAGCTATGTGACTCTGGGCAGGTCACTTAACCCCAATTGCCTCACCTTTCCCCTCATCCCCCCAAAACAAAAGAACTGGGAATTTTAGGGGCAGCTAGGTGGTGCAGTGGATAGAGTACCAGCTCTGAAGTCAGGAGGACCTGAGTTCAAATCCGGACTCAGACCAAACACTAAACACTTACTAGCTGTATGACCCTGGGCAAGTCACTTAACCCTAATAGCCTTTAAAAAAAAATGCTATCCATCCCCAGAGGAAGAGCAGATTGTGTCTGAATAGATTGAAGCATACTTGTTTTTACTTTATTTTTCTGAGGGTTTTTTTTTGTGTGTTTTCTTTCACAACATGACTGTTATGGATATGTTTTGCATGACTATACATACATAACCTACATTGAAATGTTTGCCTTCTCAATGAGGGAAGGTGGGGAAGGAGAAGACAATTTAGAACTCATGCTATAAAAATGAATTATTAAAAACTGTTTTTACATGTAACTGGGGAAAAACTAAAATACTAAAAAAAGAAAAGAAAATATAAGATAGACCAATGGATTGTAATGTAACAGAGTGCAAAAAGGCAACGACAGTTTCAGATTTCACATTGCATCTAAGTTTTAAGAAACTAGCATTTCTTGAGTTTTGGTGCAGTATCAAAAAAGAATATCCACAATTATCTGAAAAAAATCATTGAAATACTCCATTTTCCAACACATCTTTGTGAGACCAGATTCTCTTCATTTATTTCAACCAAAACAACATTACAATAAATTGAATGCAGGATATGAGACTCTAGCTGCCTTCTATTAAGCCAAACATTAAAAAGATTTGCAAACCTGTAAAGTTATGCCACTCTTCTTACTACGTATTTTTTAAAGAAACTAGCTATTCTTTTAAAATGAAAAATATTACTTATGCTAACACATAATGGGCTTATCATCATTTTAAAATGAATTTATCGGTTTTAATTTCTAACATGGTAAATACTGATAATCAGCATAAACAAAAGCTCTTTGGAAACCTCAGTAATTTTTAAGAGTGCAAAGCGGTCCTGAGATCCAAAAGTCTGAGAACTTCTGACATACAGGATTTAGAACTAGAAGGCACCTTAGAGATATTAACCAATCCAACTCCTTTATTTTATAAAGAAACCAAGGTCTAGGGAAGTTAAATGACTTTCCTAGGTTATACAGGCAGAATTGGGATTTAAATTCAGGTCTTCTGACTCCATATCCAAGAACCTTTCCATTAAAACACATCTTGAAACCCAATCCCTTGGAAATTTTGGAAGCCATCATTAGACAACAGGGTGATGACTGATCAAGGAGCTCCTAATGCCTACCTTCCTTATTTATATTCAGTTCCTCCCAATTACATACCTAGTCCTGCTCACATAAACCTTTTCTTTATGGCTGTATAGAAATAGTCAAATATGGTCAAAAGACAGCTCAGAGATCTGGTACTGTAGAAGAGGCTCAGCATAATCAATACATAAAGTTTTTATTATTTGATATTCATCTTCCAGTGGTAGGGAAGCAAAAAAAAAATAATTTGGGAACAGTTCCAAATTTCATTTTTCCATGCTGAGAAAGTAGAGGGAATGATGATATCAAAAAGAAAAATAGAAAATTAAAATGGGAAACATACTAAAAAGTATGGTGAAGATAGCAAATATAAGGTAATAGCCAAGGATATGAAGAACAAACCAGGGACGATTTTTTTTTAAAAAAACATAACAAGGTAGGTCTTTTTCTATATTGAGAAGAATTAGAAAACTGTGCCAACTAAGTTCAATGCAATTGACTTTCATTTTAAGAGGACTTACTGCTGCCTCTCAATCCTTTTATTCAACTATTTCCTAACATAATCCTTATAAAGCTACTGTGAACTTTTTCATTAAAGTTCTCCTTTCCCTTTCTGCAACACGGATAAACATTTCTAACTTTCTGAGACAAATTAATCCTCCCTCTTTCTTCCACTACCCTTTTAAATTCAAAAAGGTCCTGTATCTATGTGTGTATCACCTCAACCTCCTCCTTACTTTCTATAAAGAAATAATCCTCCTTTTGCCCGTCTATCCCTTTCACCTGTATTCTTTAATAATTTTTATTCTTTTGAACTCAGAATTTACCTACTAGATTTTTAAAATTAAAAATTCTTAATTCTGCTGCTTTTGCCAAACCATGTTCCTCTTTTTCATTTTCCTTTGTATTGCCAAACTTTTGAAGAACTACTTTATAAGCACTGCTCTCATTTTTCTACTGCTTAATTACATAAAGACATATTTTCCCCATCTAATTTGACTGCTTGCTTTGATCATCTCTTATACTTTGGTTCCTACCCAGATTACTAAAATTGTCTCCAAGCTCAAATAAAGACCACCTCCTAATCACCAAATCTGATCAACTTTTCTTAATCTTTATCATCCTTGACCTCTTTTCAGCACATGACATTGCTGACTGCTTCCTCTCTTGCTGAAACTGCAACCTTGGCTTCTGTCACAGTATAAATACTCTGATTTTCCTATCTCTTTTGTGTATTTGTCACTTTTTCCATTCATTCCTTAAATGTGGTCACACCACAAGGTAAAATCTTTTTGCCTTCTAGTCTTTATATACAGTCATCATCAGAAGTTTCTCAAAGCTTTAACTATTACCTCTACGACAACTGGTGTCAAAAGGTTTCAAATCCCACCTGAGGCTTACTATCTGTGTGATCTTGGGCAAGTCACTAAATCTCGTTGGTCCCAAGTTTTCTCATGTTTTAATGAAGAGGGTGGACTGTACAACCTTTATGGACTCTCCCAGCTATGATCTACTTTCCTAGGATCCCTGATCTCTCTCCTAATGCGGATTCCTGTATTTCCAATTGTCTAGCAGACAATTCCACTTGGATATCTCGTAATCTGAAACTCAACATAGCTAAAACTGAACTCAGCTTTTTTCCAAAATATGCTCCCCTTTCACCAAATGGTACCATCTTTCTCCAAGCCTCTCAGTGTTATTACTTCCACAGATATCGCATAGCTTTACTTCTTCCCAATGAATTCTGTAATTATCTTCATTTAGCTCTATGATGTATCCTTTTCACAGTTTATTGGTATAGCACCACCTCTGTAAATTAGTTAGGTAGCATATTAGTATAGTTTCATCATGAGTGAGGAATGTCCCTCCAGTTAAGTCATCCTTTATTTCTTTAAGGGAGGGATTCTTTTTTTTTTCTTTTTGGCAATTGGGGTTAAGTGACTTGCCCAGGGTCACACAGCTAGTACGTGTCAAATGTTTGGTTTGAGGCCGGATTTGAACTCAGGTCCTCGACTTCAGGGCTGGTGCTCTATCCACTGCGCCCCAGGGAGGGATTCTTTACGTTTGTGTCACCCACCCCTTTTGTAGTCTAATGAAATACATAAAATACATTAAGATTACAAAGAAAACTGAAGGCTAGTGAAAATAAAAAATGTAACTGTTTTCTCTTTCAAATTTACAGACTCTTTCCTAAAATTTATCCATGGACCACTGGTTAAGAATCCTTACCTTAAAGAATGCTTTTTAGTTGTGCCTATTCAAGTCTTGAGTATTCCTCGGTAGACTGACCCTGATATATTTCATGTATTTCACAGTTATGGTGAATAGGCCTTTCCCTTATAACATTTCTTCCTGGATTTTGTTACTGTTATAGACATGTGTTACTGATTTTTGTGGGTTTGTTGTTGCATCCTGCTACTTATTGTCAAGTCTTGTAACTTTAAAAACAAAAGGCTAAAATAAAAGTTTTCTTGGGTTCCTCTATTATTCACACATTTTGTCAGTTGCCAAATCTTGTCAATTCTTCCATCATAATTTATCTGGAATCTCTCTTTTCCTTTATGTTCCTACTATTACCATTTTTCTCCATGTTCTTTATCATCTTTATCATCTGAATTCTCAAAATGGTTTCCCAGTTTCCAGAATCTTCTTTACTCTAACAATCCCATATGCTGTAAATACTGCTCCATAATTTAAATCCTTCTCTACTAACTGTAATAGAGTCTGGTCTCAACTTACTTTGTAACGCTTCTATCTAGTCAACTCAATATCATTTAATTCTCCATTAACTGAGAGGTTCCTGTCCTTAAGCTTATTTTTCTTAGGCTTTGCTCAAATCTACTTCTGTGAAGGAAGGGGGTGTGTGTGTGTGTGTGTTGTGTGTGTGTGTGGTGGTGGTGTGTGTGTGTGTGTGTGTGTGTCGTGTGTGTGTGTGTGTGTGTGTGTGTGTGTGTTTTCTAGTGAAAAGAGAAATCCTTTGGGGTACAGGATATTTCTCTCAAAGTTTTACAATTTTCTTGAGGCTTTTACAATTCCTAGTTAATGTCTACCCTAGGACTATTTGAAAGTTAAGGTTAATTCAGGAAAGAGAAATTAAAGAAGCTCTTACCTACTCTACCTTTCCCATTTCAAGCTATAAACCTCAAATGTTATGGAAATTAATATAAAAATGTTAACTTTGGCAAAAGCAGAGTTAACTAGAATTCTGCTAACAAAGTCTTTGTTACAATTTTCAGAACTCCGTGGCTCTTTCAGTTTGCTCACCTTTGCTAGATGTATATAAGAGTGCTGACTGAAAAGAAACCACTTGAATGTCAGTGAGATTCTCTTCTACTGACATCTGCACTGCATATCCAGCATCTGGGTTCACATTGGGCAAGGACAGCAAGTCTGTTGATCGCACAAAGAAATTTCCATGGAAGGTGTGAATGGAAAGACCTAGGGGAAAAATTTTTTAAATTTAGTATAATTATCATTAGAATAATTTCCACACTGTTATGTGACTAAATCTTATTCCATAATAAAATTCTGACATAAAAAATTTTTGACAAAAAAGATTAGGCTGTCTCTGAAAGATTTTAGGAATATATTAGCAAAAACAAAGAATAATGTAAACTGACAGCTGTAACAAGAATCTCCCATTAAAATCAACTAAAGGAAGATTAGGTATGACCAGTACATATTTATAAGCACATCACACACACACACACACACACACACACACACACACACGCACACACACAGAGTAAATGTTCTTTTCCAAATAAAATCTTATTTCCTGACCTTTGGTACACCTTATCCTCATGACAGCCTCAAAACCAATCTTCCTGGTTAAGTATCGTTTCAACTCCTTCTGTAACTTCTCTACTTGGACTGGGTTGTGCTGATGATGATAAGATGGATAATAATAGACACTACCTGCTGAATATCTCGAAATACAACCTGGAAAATACAATACACAGTCGTTATAAATTTGCAGAATGTAAGCTTACTGCTACTATGATTACCTGGGTCACAAAATTCTTAATCCAAAGCTGCTCCACTTTCTCATGGTAACATTTAATAAGAATTTTCTTCCATGACTTTAAATTATAAGGTAGAAATTTCTTTCCCTTAAGTTACCACAGAAGTAAAATTAGAAGACAGGCTATTAAAATATGATGCAGTATAAATTCTTATGTCATGTCTATGTTCCTTACCATTACATTTAATGGAGATTACACTTAATCTCTATTACAAAAATATACAATCACTTAAATAATTTTTAAAAACTTACCTAATGAAGCCAGGTCAGAATACTGCCCACTGAGAAGAAACAAATCAACTGCTACTTGCTGACCAGAACAATCCAAGGCTAACTTCTTATAGAAGTCAGTAGATGGTGTAAGATGTATTTCCTGTTAATAGTATATTATACAATAATTATATCATTCTAAATAACACAATTATTGTTCCAGATAATCTCCCCTCAAATAATTTTAAGGTTATTACTCTAAAACACATACAAATCTACCTTCATTAAAAGGAAACTATGTTAGTAATAAAAATAATATTATATACATAGCACTTTTAAGTTCTGCAAAATGCCTTGCATTATTATCCCTATATTACAGAGTAAGAAACTGAAGCTCAAAGCAATTGAGACTATAAAATTGATAATAAGTATGTAAGTGAAATGATTTGAACCCAGGTCTGACTATTAGAACAAGATTTCAAACTATATTACAAAGTTATAATCATCAAAAGAATCTGATAATAAGGAAGAAAAAGAGAGGCTGAACAGTGGGACTGCTTAGGAACACAATGGAGTACACAGAAGCAAATAAGCAGAGGAACATAGTATTTAATAAGGTTAAAGAGCCCAGCTATCGGGGTAAGAACTCACTATTTGACAAAAAAAGTTGGAAAAGTAGAAAGTCTGGCAGAATAGGTATGAACCAACATCTCACCAAAGAAAAGCTTTTATCAAGACAAGCTCAAAATGGGTACATGATTTAGATAAGAAAGGGTGATATGCAAATTAGTGGGGCATGGAAAAAATTATCTGTCAGATCTATGGGTAGGGGAAAAGTTCATGACCAAGAGACAGAAGGATTCACAGGAGGTAAAATGGGTATTTTTGATTACATAAAATTAAAAAGATTTTGCACAAACAAAACCAGTGCAGCTTGAAATTAGAAGACAGGAGACTGGGGAGAAAATCTCTGAAACAAGTTTCTCTGATAAAGGCCTCACTGCTAAAATATATTAGGAACTGCATCAAATTTACCACAAGGGTCATTCCTTAAAAGACCAATGGTCAAAGGATACGAACATGAAGTTTTCAGAGGAAGAAATCCAAGCTGTCAATAGCCATATGAAAAAAAAATGTTCTAAAAAGCTAATAACTGGAGAAATGCAAATTAAGACAATCTGAGGTACCATCTCACATTCATATTGGCTGATATGACCAAAAAAAAAAAAAGAAAATGACAAATGCTAGAGGGGGTGTGGGAAACAGGTACACAAATACACTGTTAGTGAAAATGTGAACGAATCCATCCATTCTGGAGAGCAATTTAGAATTATGCCCCAAAAGCTGTTAAACTTTCTTTCAACTCAGAAATATACTATTAGAGCCATACCCTAAAGATATCAAAGAAGGAGGAAAAGGAAGCACATGTACAAAAATATTTATAGCAGCTCTTTTTTGTGGTAGCAAAGAATTGAAAACTGAGATTAACTGGAGAATGGCCAAATTAGTTATGATATATTAATGCAATGGAGTACTACTGTGCTGTAAAAAATGATGAAGAGAATGGTTTCAGAAAAACCTCAGAAGACTTATATGAAGTGATACAGAGAGAAGTGAAAAGAACCAAGAGAACAATGTACACAATAACAGCAACACTGTAAAGACAAAAATCTTTGAAAGACTTAGTAACTCTGATCCATACAATGATTCACAACAATTCCAAAGGACTCCTGATAAAACAAGCCATCCACCCCAGAAAGAGAACTGGTACAGACTCAAGCCAAGACTGTTGCCCCTTACCCCAAAAGATTTTGGGTCCTAGTTGTTTGAGGGGGGACTGACGGGGTATGGGCCTGGGAAACCTCCTCACCCCACACTCTCCTTGAGTTTTCTCCTTTTCCCACATGGTGAAGTCTTTGGCATTCCCCTGAAGCATCATCCTAGTAATCTCAACTGGCCTTTCATTGTAGTTACTTTCATTGTGATTACTTTCTTGTGGCTAGGCCCAGACTCCCAATTCTGTAACCTCTGACCCATTTCAACCATCATTGTCCAATACCTCCTGATGACCGCAGGCTACTTCTCACCCTTGATCCTATCTAGACCCTATTCTATCTCCCAGTCACTCCTATCAAGATCCTCCCTAGATCCCTTCTCCAGTCACCTCAAACTACTTGACCACTCCTAGATCCCTTCCACATTCCTTCTGTATATAAGATCTATCTAGTCTCCATTAAGGTGCTCAGATTCTTAAAATCTAGCCAACATCACAGACTCACTAGGAATCTTGCTCACCCAATCAGTGTATTAATAAATCTTATCTTTGGCTTGGAGAAAAAAAAAAAAGAGAACTGATGGATTGAGAGTGCAGAATGCAGCATATTTTTTTCTACTTCTACTTCTTTTTTTGGGTGGTGGATGGGGAGAGAGAGGTACATGGCTAATATGGGCATTTGTTCTGCATTTCTATACATATTTGTAATGGGTTTTATTTGTCTTGCCTTCACAATAGGTAGAGGAGCACAAAGGGAAAAATGAAGAGAGAGAATTTGGAACTGAAAATGATATAAAAGAATTTAAAAAACAAACCCAGGTCCATCTAGTCTAATTCTAAGTTTAGTACTCTTTTGTCATGCTATCTCTCAATGGTTTAGCATATAAGCACAAGGACCCTTTCATAATGTGTTGAAATGCAGTACACAGCAGTAAATATATCCAGAAATCTAAGGCCTGACATGCCTCTGTGCAGTTCACCAGATCTTACCTCTTCCTCTGCAAGCACCTGAATCATCCTTAGTGTGCCTCACTAAGAGGCACTTCTGCTCTATAGCTTACTGGAAGCTTAATGAAGTAGGATGGGAAGATTAGGTAAGGAAAGGGCTGTATAAAGTCCTAAGGTTGTAAAGGGAATGCAATGGGTATAGCTAAATCTAAAGAAACAGTGTACATTCCCTCCAACAAACGAACAGGGGAAATAAGCCCCACATGGAAAGTTATGCATGAGCACAAATATGACACTTTTTGGAAACTAAGAACTGGTAATTTTCTAACCTTAGCAGATGATCTTTGGTTAGGCTCTTCTCGAGATTTTAATGCTCCTACTCCGATTGACGGAATCTGTGTTTGGAAAACAGAGATTCGACCACCAGTAGGAGACATCAACTTAAAGGCACTCTGAAGCGCAGGTCCCAGAGCACTCTGTGTTTCCAAAGATTTGGTAAACATTTGTGGCAAAGTTTTCAGTAAGTCTTGAATAAGCTGGAGAAATGAAGAACACACTAGAATTTCACTACATATAAAAAAATTCACTAGTTAATAAAATAGGCAAGACAGTCACTGAAGATAGCAAGAGGGGGCACCTAGGTGGTGCAGTGGATAGAGCACCAGCCCTGAAGTCAGGAGGACCTGAGTTCAAATCCAACCTCAGACCAAACACTTAACACTAGCTGTGTGACCCTGGGCAAGTCACTTAACCTCAACTGCCTAAAAAAAGAAAAAAAAAGATAAGAGAATTTACAAATGGAACATCAAATGAAGAGTTTGTCTTAAGACAAGTGAGCCATTTTAATCAGTCAACATTACACAATTGTCAAGCAGTACAAATTACGATTAATGTCTTATAGTTCTTGCAAATGCAAAAGTTCCACTAAGGTTCTAAGACTAAGTTTTTTGTCAAAAAGAATGTCTAACGCAATAGATATAGAATACATAAATCCCATGGATTTAATTACCATCTCTGTTCTGATGATTCTCAAATCTACTTTTCCTGCCCCAACCTCTCCGCTGACATCTAATCTTAAATCACCAATTGCCTTTTACACATCTCAAACTGTATGTCCAGTAGATATCTTAAACACATGTTCAAAATGGAACTCATTATCTTACCCCCAAACCCTTTGCACCTATTTTCCTTATTACCATCAAGGGCAACACCATCCTCTCAGGCCCTCAGGTTCACAAGACTCTTCACTATCCCTCATCCCCTAAATCCAATCTGTTGCTGAGGCCTGTGAATTTTAGCTTTGTAAAATCCCTGAAATAAGCCCCCTTCTCTTCTGACACTGCCACCACTTGGATGCATGTGGCCCTCGTCATCTCATACCTGGTCTATTAAATAGTAGGTCTGCCTTCCTCAAGTCTCACCCTACTCCAATCCATCCTTTATTCGGCCACTAAAATAATTTTCTTAAATCTCAGGTCTAACCACTGTACTCCCCTCCCCCTCAATAAACTCTAGTGGCTCCCTATTGCTTTCAGGATCAAATACAAAATCCTGTTTGGCACTTGAAACCCTTAATAACCTAGCCCCCTCCTTCCTTTCCAGTCTTCTTACACCTTACTCCCCAGTGACACTGGCCTTATTGTTCCATGAACAAGATATTCCATCTCTCAGTCCTGGGCATTTTCTCTGGCTGTACCCCAGGTCTGGAATGCTTTTCCTCTACCTATCAGGTTCCTCGGCTTCCTTTAAGGTCATCTAAAATCCCATCTTCTACAGGAAGCTTTCCCTCTCTTACTTAATTCCTACTTCTCCTACACACAGCTTGTTTGTACATATTTGTTTGCTGGTTTTCTCTCCTATTAGACTGTAAGGTGCTTGAGGGCAGGAACTGTCTTTTGACTCTTTTTGTAATCCCTGCACTTAGTCCATCCAGTGCCTAGTATACATTAGGCACTTAATAAATGCTTACTAACAGATAGGATGTTATAAAGAATGCCATGAAATATAGCCATTTATCCCCCTCATATACATTTAAATCTCGACTCACTCCTAAAATAGGTTTCACTATGCCCTATTTCAAGATTTAAGATAGTAAATTTGAAAACTAGCAATTTCAATTTTTAAAAGTTGTAGGTTCAGCTTCACAAGTGATGGGGGAAGAATTATGATAATCATAACAGCTAGTGTTTTATGGTGTTTTTAAGTTTTACAAAGAAATTCGTATTACTTCATTTAATCCTCACCTCACCACTGTGAAGGAGGTGCTATCAGCATCCTTATTTTATAGATGAGGAAACAGAGGCAAACAGGTTAGTGACTTGCCCAGGGTCACACACCTAGAAAGCATCTGAGGCTGGATTTGAACTCAGGTCTTCCTGACTCCAGGTCTGGCGCTCTATTTTCACTCCTCTGTCTGGTATGCTACCTCACTGTTCATTTCTCATTACAAACTAATTTTTACCAACAGCTGAAAGCACAGGCTTGCTAGTTAAAATGTTACCTATAGCATATATGTGCTTGTACAGGTTAGACAACAAAATCCTTAACTTTAAAGACATTCTGTTTCCCTGTCACAGAATTACGTCAAGGCAGTTTCCAAGCCAGCCAATAATATGGTTTATACAAATCAGAAAAGCAACATGCAATGAAAGCAGCATGGCTGGAGTACTTCTTAAAATGACCCAGTGCCTTAAATCAAAATACCTTTTGGTCCTCAAATGGCTGGTGAAGCAGGCTTGCCGATTCTATTGGGAAATATACCCACCTGCCACCCTAAAAGGGACTGCTCTGTTATACAATAATAGTTCTAATATATCAAACTAAATACAAGTATGATACATGATAAATTTTAACTACAAAACACTTTAATATAAAGAGTTCACCTGTTTCAGAAACGTTAAAGGCAATATTTTATCATCCTTTATTTTAAATTTCTTAATGCTTTAAAATGGTATCATAAAATGTATACTGACATAAAAATGATTCTTACCTCTTTATTTTCATTTAAATTTACAAGTAAGTTTTCTGGCATTGGTATGAACACATCTGAAAATACAAACGTTTATTTTTTAAAGTTAATCATTTCTAAGCTACATAAAAATGATGAAATGACTTGCCCCCAAAACTCTAAGGATGCAACATTTCTGCATTTGTCAAAAATATGACACCACTGAGTTTATAAGAAGGACTAAGTTATTTATTCATGTGTTTCTAGCCTTCTCTGATAATAGTAAAGCCCTGAAATCGAACCACTTTTGAGACAGCAAAAAATCTGGCCGGTGACTTTCTTTTGATTTGCCAAGAACTCACTGCTGATTCACATAAATAACTGTTTCTAAGATCTAAGGAAGTAATTTGGAATAGAATTCTGTCTCAGCTGTGGCTGGTCCTATAAGTCAGCCATAGGCATGTTCTTGGCACATACAAAAAGTAAATGTGAAATAACCAGAAACACGTGGATATTATATCATTGCACTGAAGTGGTGCAGTTCCCTAACAGCTGTGTAATTCAAAGAGCAATCACATTTCTCAACAAGAACGCTACCATAACAGTTTCTAAAAATTATATCGCTCACCACAGCATACCACAGGGCATGGTCCAAGGGCAAAAAGTATATCACATCACATGAGATACTTTAGATGAAACTAAAATAAAGCTTTAAAGCTTTGTAATGAAAAGTTTTTTTTTTAATGTACCACTTTAGCTTGGAACATTTTAAAATCAAAAGCATTTAACATTTGGCAGAGTGGTATCTTTAATGTGTAATAGGTATTTCACATAAGAAATACCTCTCACACTACTTTAAGTTGCCTTCTGTCTTAAATGCTATAATCTCTAGCTCTATCTTTCAGGAATCAAAACATAAATTCTCTACATTTTTATTTTGTTGAGAGCTGAAATACTGTTTATATATTCTTAGAGCTTGAAGGGACCTTAGAGAACTTCTAAGCAAACCCTCTCATTTTACAGATATGGAAACTGAAATTTTCAATTTTTACTAATTAGATCATATTATTTATCTTAAAAAGATTAGCAGAATACAAATTAAACAGTGAATATCAATTATGAAAGCTCTTATAATTTATATTCTGTCAAATTCTCACCTCTTTAACAGTGTCTCACTATAGATATGTTTTAATTATGATCCTAATGGACTGACACTCCAGTTTTAATTTATGCTAATTCATCAGAGAAGGTTAGCATGGTATAATAGAAAAAAGAAGACTGTGCCAGGAGAACTGGATCCTAGGTCCAGGTCTACCAAGGTCACTATGCTCTCTAGTTACAAAAATTCTCAGATGTCAGCATCTCAACCTCTTAGTAGGACTAGTAAAATCAAGTCAAGAATGAGCAAATAACAGCTGTGATGCCAAGGTATATTTCATGAATACTACATTGACTGGCTCAGGGTATGCCTCATGGGTAACCTGCTGACTCCCATTCACCATTTATCAAATAGAGGAGGCCGGATTAAAGATCACCAAGGTCCCTTCCAGCATAATAAATTATATGATTTACATACAAGGTTCAGCATTGAATGCTCAACATATTAACTTGTGTAACTGATTAATAAATTTTTTAAAATGTCAGTTTAATATTCATTTTAACCTTTAAATTCATAAATATACCTTCAATATCTGAAACTATTAGCATCTGAGGCTGAGAGAGACCTTCTTGAAGACTGTAGAAGTGGATTGTACTGTCAAATGTTATAAAGCCAATTTTTGTTCGAGTGTTACCAGGAAGCCTAAAAAGAAGTTCATAAAGTTAATTTCTATCATAATTTTTCACCCACACAGTTCAATGACAGGAGATTAAATACCTGCTATGAATTTCAGAAACTCTTGGGAGGCAACTTAGTATACCAGAAGAATACTAAGCCTAGAATCAGAGCACACAGATTTCAGTCCTGATCCTTGACATTTACTTGTCTGTAACCTTTGGTAAATCACAACCTTTACAGCCCATTTCCTCATCTGTAAAATGGGGTAAAAATACTTGTGCTATTTACCTCACAAAGTTTTATTAGGAAAGTGATTTGTAAATTACAAAGCTGTACAAAAAAGTGGAAAGGCAATGCAGCACAGTAGAGGGTTGGCTTTGGATTCAGAACACCTCAGTTCAAATTTGTGCCATACACATAATAGCTTTGTGACTATAGGCAAGTCAAATAACCTCTAAATTCACGAAGGTAACCATTTAAGGATATAAATTTCAGATGAGATGACCTGTATTGGTAGAAGGAGTTTCCATATTGGAAGTTACTTACACTAATGAAGTCACAGGTCAAGACCAAAACAATCTACACTCTCCTAACAAAAAATATAAATGTCAAGTATTATTATAATATATAATAGATATGATTATGGAAATAAAGCATAGTCATACCTGAGTCACCAATGTAGCTAGAAACATAGTTCAAGTCTTACACTCAACTTCTTGGCTAGAACTCAGACTTGAAAATATGCCCTTTTCAAAATAGGAAGCATACTATATAGTTACACAAAGTAATAATCCTGCACACCAAAACTTGTTCCAAATCATGTTGCTGTTGTTTAGTTGTTTCAGTCACATCTGACTTTCCGTGACTTCATTTGTACTTTTCTTGGCAAAGATATTGGAGTGGTTTGCTATTTCCTTCTCCAGCTGATTTTGCAGATGAGTAAACTAGGGCAAACACAGTTAAGTGACCTGACCACAGCCACACAGCTAGTAAGTTATCTGAGGCCACATATGAACTCAGGAAGTTTTCCTGAATCCACTGTGCCACCTACCTGCCCCATTCCAAATAATATTGATTCAATTAATGATAGTATTTGAAAATTTCTAATAAATATATCCTTTTCTAGTTATATAATTTTTATGTTCACTTTAACAGAATGTTATCTCTTAAAAACAGCAACTTTTCTGTTTTTAAAATATTTCCTCAAAAAGCTTAACAAATGTCTAAGATCCATTTACAGAAAATAAAAACCTTTATACAGATTTCTTGTACTAATTAGGAAAAAAAATGTAAAATTAACAATACATTAAAGAATGTGTGTATATGTATGTGTATGTATAAACTTTTAAGGAATAACAGTGCACTGGACTTAATGTAGTTCCTCTTATATGTCATATATGTATATGACATAGCTGCCATATATCTTGAATATTAAACAAAAGTGCTACTGAATAAAACAAAAACAAAACAAAAACAAAACAAAAAACAACAACAAAAAACCCACCAAGTATAAAGTTTTTGTTCCTATTGTTCTTGCTTTGGAATTACCAGACAGACAATCCTCAGAAGACTCACATCCTACTTCCAATATTCCTTGTAGTAATGGAACAATGGTAGCTCCCATTCTCACTTCTCTCTCCCTCTGCACAGGATCATTATGCTCTCTTGTCCTACCATATAGCACTACTGTAACTCAATTACATTACTGTATAATAAGCTTCATGGCTTGGCTTAGAAACCTAACCAATATCTGAAACACTGTTTCAACAGGGAAAAAATTTCTGAGTTTCAGACAAATGGGCAAGTCACTTAATTTCATTAAGCTGCTGTTTCCTCACCTATAAAATTGGGGAGTTAGACCAGATGGCCTCTACTGTCCCTTCCAGCTCTAAGTCCTATGATCCTGTGAAACCAATGAACTTTTGGAACCCAACCAATAAGGAGAGAAATTAACTCTTAACAGTCCCAGGTCTGAGATAAAATTCTATGGGCAAAACTAAAAACTTACGAATCTAGATTGTCCAGCAAACTCTGGCAAACTGAATTCAAATATCCAGTTTCAATTGCATTGTGAGACACATCAAACACAAAGAGGTACACAGGAGGTTGAGGTGGACGTAACTAAAGAAAGAAAAAAAAGGCTTTATTAAAACACATCCTCATTTCTAAAGAAAATTAGCTTACAATCTACTTCACTCATAACTTAATTTTGTCCCTAAAAAACATAGTTTTGTATAGAAACATTTTTTAAACGATGAATGTAGATAATTTAATAAGTCATTAAAAAAACCTGAAAATAGCGGAGTGACTATATAATTTAGCGTTGAATCTCTAAAGTAAAAAGTCACGTGCTCACACTTGGTCTTCTACAGTTAAATTTCAGCTATAGGTCCATTAAGTTTACGTGAAATTTCTTAGAAATCAAGTCAGGAGGACTCCAGGGCTCTATCTACTACACTACCAAGCTGCCCCTAGGAAGGCGCTCACACGGAGGTCAGGAATACAAGGACACTCTCAAGGTCTCTCTAAAGGACTTTGGAATTGATTGCGCACATGGGAGATGCTGTCAAAGGACTGCCCAACATGGTGTGCCCTATATCAAAGAAGGCGCTGTGCTGTATAAGCAAAGCAGAATTGCAGCAGCTCAAAAGAAACAAGATATGCACATTTAGAGAATCCACCCCAAAAATTCGTTTGTTTATTTGTACTCGAGTTGTGGTAAAGCATTCCAAGCTTATATCAGTCTTATCAGCCACAGGTGGGTACACTGTAACTTGAGTAACAAAGTGATGTCATTTTGGTCCTTTTTGAGAAAAAATTACAACCAACCAATGGAACTTCTTAATTCAAATTCAATTGTAATGTAGGTCTATACACTCCTACAGCTTTATCAATGGACATGAAACCTTCAAACTATTCAATACCTTTTAAAAATTAAGTGAGAAAACCCAGAGAGGCTGAAACTTCCCAGTCTATCTCTTAGAGACCACTATCTGCTTTGGTCAAGCATCTCCATCAACACTTGGGAAATAAAAAGAGATTATAAAATCTCCACAGCTCTAACTCAATGAGGCAATAACTAAAAATGTTACCAAGTATCAAGGAAGTATCATGAAACAGAAGAAAGAGAAATTGTAGGTCACTCTTGAAGACTACATAGTGAGATGGTTCAGATTAGACAGGGATTAGATAAACTAAGTATTATTATAATAAATATGAATTAACACTTATTCAAAATCCAATACAACATTTGTTAGAATCTAACAATCAAGTACAGTAATTAAATTAGGAAAAATAAAAACTTACCATATATTCTGAAGGAGCCATAAACTCAATAGTAGCATTTTGAACTTCAGGTCTTCTAAGAGGATCTCCATATACTCTGGTCACAGGATTGTACATAAATTCTTCAGGAACTGTATATAATGATAAAATTGTAAGTCAGTGCCTAACATCTCATTTGGAATAATGTTAATTCAAATTTAGAATAAAAAAAATCCAATAGATTTAATGATTATCTATACGCAAATGATGCTATCTGTATATCCAAGCCTACTCTCTCTCCTGAGCTCCAGTCCACCAACTGCCTACTGGGCATTTCCAATTGAATGACCCATAGGTATCTTATGTGCATGTCCAAAAGTAGAACTCAGCTTTCTCCTAAAATTCTCCTTTCTTCCCCACTTCCCTATTTCTGTTGAGGGTACCATTATCTTTCCCATCCCTCATGTTCAAAACTTTAGTCATCCATGACTATTTATTCTCTCTTCCTCATATCCTACTATCAGATCAGTTACCAAGTTGAATAGATCCTACCTCCAAAACATCTCTTACATTTAACCTTTTCTCTCCACTCATGCAGCCACCAACCTTGTTCAGGCCCTCATCATCTCTCACAAAAACTAACTGAATTGCCTCCATGAAATGGTTTCTTGTACTACTTCCAATTCAACTTCTAAAAAGCTGCCAAATGGACACTGACAAAGCATAGATCTGACCATATCTCCCTTGCTAGGCATTTAAAGCCCTATACGATCTGACTCTCACTTACCTTTCTAGGCTTACTGCACGTGACTCATTTTCATGCCATCTACATTTTAGCCATGCTGTCCTGTTATTCCCCATAAATGAAATTCCATCTACTTTGCACAGTATGTTGTCCATAGAGGGAATGCATTCCCTCCTTACTCCTGCCTCACAGAATCCCTAGCTTCCTTCAAGATATAGTTCAAGTGCATACCATCTCCTGAAACTTGTCTCTCCCCACCAATTACTGTGTATACACGTGTATATATTTTGAATTTTCTTATATGCGTTCATGTTGTGGCTGTCCCCTTCCCTCCCTTCAGCAGAATGTAAAATCTTTGAAAAGACTGCTTCATTCTTGCATCATATCCCCAGTGAGAAGCCTGGCACATCAAAGGTGCCAAATAAATTCTTGCAGAATGCACGAATAACTACAAAAGCTTCATATTTTCCGAATATTAAATGAATAGCTGACATTTATGTAGTACATTAAGATTTACAAAGATGCTCCCATTTATATACAAAGAGCCTCACAACAACACTGTGAGGTAAATACTATAGGGCTACAAAACTGTGCATACCTTTGACCCAGCAATAGCACTACTAGGTTTATACCCCAAGAGATCAAAGAAAAAGGACAAGGACCTATATGTTGAAAAATATTTACAACATCTCTTTTTGTGATGGCAAAGAATTGGAAATTGAGGGATGCTCATCAATTAGGGAATGGCTGAACAAGCTGTAGCATATGATTGTGATGGAGTACTACTGTGGTATAAGAAAAGATGAGGGGGGTGGTTTCAGAAAAAATATGAAGAGATTTATATGAACTGATGCAAAGCTAAATGAGAAGGACCAAGAGATCACTGTGCACAGTAACAGAAATGTTGTAATGATGATCAACTGTGAAAGACTTGTATACTCTGAGCAATATAATGACCCAAGAAAATTCCAAAGGATTCATAATTTTTAAATGCTATCCACATCCAGAGAAGGAACTGGTGAACTCTTGAGTGCAAACTGAAGTATAATTTTCTTACTTTATTGTTTTCTGCATTTAAAAAAAATACGGTTAATATGGAAATATGTTTTGCATGATTTCACATGTGTAACTGATATAACTTGGCTTGTCTTCTCAGTACACAGGAGAGGAGTGGGAGGGAGAGAATTTTGAACTCAAAATTGAAAATTTAAAGAATGTTAAAAATAAATAATAAAACAAAGTGGAATTTTAAAAAATCATCTTGTTGAACTATTATTATAAACAGAAAAAAATCAATAGCAGAAGAAATTTCTTCCTCAAGACATCAAACCGCCTCAAATACCACAAAGGGAGATGGCAGGAGAGGGTGATGCAATGCCTAAATCATATATTTAGAAAAATGATGAAAGAATCTCTTATATTAAGCCAAATACATGTGTGAAAGTCCTTGTGAGTTGTTAAAACTATAATGGTAGTATCCTGATAGATGCCATCAATTAATAATGACTATGGAACAAGACTTTCTACCAATAGACAGGTAGCAGGAACTCAACAGTGAATTTTTAAAATTTAAATGTCCTTTTTCATTTTTTTGTTGTTATTTTGGCAGAAGCAGAGACAACATAAATAGAAAATGGAAGCCCTGTGCATGAAGCCCAACGGTGACACTTAGTTTGAGTGAATTTAACTGAGTCACTTACTTAGCCTTCAGTTATTTTTTTTTCTTTTTTCTTTTTGCTAGGCAATGGGGTTAAGTGACTTGCCCAGGGTCACACAGCTAGTAAGTGTTATGTGTCTGAGGCCGGATTTGAACTCAGGTCCTCCTGACTTCAGGGCCGGTGCTCTAGCCACTGCACCACCTAGCTGCCCTAGCCTTCAGTTATTTTAGCAGTAAAATGATTGGCCTGGACTAGAAGATTCTTAGAATCTTTTCTAGGTCTAAATCCATGTTCCTATGAAAACTAAATCTTTGGTCAAAATGCAATTCTTTCAGGAGTTGTTTCAATCTTTATAGTTTTCTTACAATGATCTTAACTACCAAATTCTAAAACTGTTTCTTCATTCATTATTTAATGTTAATTATTTAATGAATCACATTCATTATTTAATATTCAAAGAATACTACAATATATAATTTGAACACATTAACACAAAAACTTAAAACGTGACTCAACACTAGCCAAAAATTCTTTATATTATTACTGAGTTACAGAATGTTTTTATTACACCTTCAGCATTTCATTCTACTCAATAAAGTCAAAGATAATGGAATATTAGCTAGAACTGGAAGGAGATGTATGGTAAATGTATTTTTTGTCTATTTAGTTGTTTGGCTCTACATTATTAAAATATGTGGCATAGTTTTAAAAGTTTTGCATATGAATTTTCTGTAAGTTTTACTATTTGTTGTTTATAATTTTTTTCAAATTCCTTGAAAGCAGTTTTATTACCCCAACTGCTGTTTTACTGCTTTGCTTCTAAAAACTGAATTTTCAAAGTGAATATTAGCAAAAATGTTACTTTTTTGGTGTATATTCAACTGAAAATGGCTAATTTAATAATGTTTTTCAACTGACAATCAAAACCCTGAGGAAAATTGCAGCCAGACTGTAAGAACATTACAGAAATAGACCTCTTACCTTCTCTGAACTACCGAGAAGACTGTATTCAATAAGTTCTTCTTATACCTTGCCTCTTCCTCAATATGTGACTTAGAGACTAAGTAAAAAGGCATGGGGACAGTTCCTGGATAAAAAACATTTCAGAACCAAGACATACCATCATTGACTCTATAACACAAGTTACACTTCCATCTCCTTTGGTCAAGAAAGCTGACAAAAGGGTTGATATATGTTCTGCATGAACGGCATCTCACAATTGTACTGGAGGTAACCACAGGCAATTGCTGGAGAAAAAAAAACAAAAACAAAACCAGAGCTGGTATTTTTTTTTAAAAGACAAGAATTCCTCATTTTTAAAGGCCAAGGATTAATCCATCTCTTCAGAATTAACAGTTGTAAATACTGAAGAAATTTAAATAAAAAGTACATGCAGTTTAAAAGCATCTTCCAAACAAACTTTTACATTCCATAAAGCAGAAAAGAAATATATAACAGTAAATTTTAAAAATCCCAAATACAAAGCCAGCTTTAAGTATAATTATTCTAAGAATACCAAGTTTTTAAATGCACTCTAAGTAAACAGGCTGATAAATTCTTATGAAATCAAAATTTTTCTCTTAGCACGCAATTTAGTTCTATCATTTTCCAATTTATGTCTTTTCTACACATTACAGAATCAAAAGCCACAATAACCTGAAGAAGAGTAAAGACAGGAGAATTCACTGAAATAGCAAAAAAGAGAAAACTGACATGTCTATCAGGGTTTAAATTTAACCCTCCTACGGCTTAGGTAAAACCACATGCCACAAGGCTCCTCAGACTTTCCAGTAATACACTTAGTTTTTATTCCCAAAAACATTCTTAACGGAATGAAATTTTAGTAAAAGGTAATAAATTAAAGTTATCACCCAAGTTATTGGAACTATAACTCACAAAATTCATCACACAATAATTTACATATTATAAAAAACCATTAACACACCATATATATAGATATATATAGATATAGATATAGATAGATATATATAGATATACACACATAAATAAATTCTGCTCAACATATAGTCAGTCAGTTTCAAAAGTTTAACATACCAATAAGTCCTTGAAAGGATGTAGCAGTAGCCCTAAAGGAAGTTTGGCTTTGTTCAATAAGGCCTGAGTCTGAGGAATATTAGTCAAAGTACACCGAAACAACCTGTGTGAAAGTATAACACATAGTTGCTTTAAATATTTCTATGGAAATATAATTAAATATTAAGAATAAAACATTTCTTATTTTTTTTTAGATGACAATTGATTAATTCAAGCAGATCCTCTCCAATATCACTGAATTAACTCTTTTTAGTTGAATCCCATCTAAAAAGAGGACAGATAGTTTATACTCACATGGCCTTGCTTCTCTTTGACTTGGGGAGGGGAAGGAAGGACCTATTCAGGAAATTCCTACGGTGGAAACTTTCTGCTGATTAGCAGTTCATCTAGTAATTACTGTCTTGGGAGTTGCCAGGGGGCAATAAAGAAGTTATTTTGCCATGGTTATAACAGATATATATATGATAACTTAACCATGGTCATAACAGACAAGAGTATATGTCAGAGGCAGGAGTTGAACACAGGTCTTCTTGACTCTTAAGGCTAGCTTTTTTTTATCCTACTACCATGCTTTCATTCTTTACCTACATAATTAGATTTATATTTGAATTATAAGTAGTTCAAACCCAGGCCTGCCACTTACTGCCTACGGGATTTTGGGCAGGTCAATAAAACTCTTTAAGTCCCACCATCCTATGTGCAGAATGGCGATAACAACACCTATACCATGTACATGATAATGCTATTGTAAGGATCAGATGAGTTAATGCACTTAAACTATTTGAATTATAAAGCACCATATAAATGTGTATTAATATTATTTAATATATATTACACAAAAGACTTACTCTAATGATTCATTATGGTAGCCTCTAGATAGAATAGCAAATAAAACATTGGACTTGGTGTCAGGAGACCTGAGTTCAAATCTTGACTGAGACACTTATTAGTGGACTGACCATAGGCAAGTTACTTAACTTCTCTCAGCTTCAATCTCCTCATTTATAAAAGGGATAAAAGCAGCCACCCGCCAGAGTTTTATGAAGATCAAGTGATATAATAGAGTTAAAATGCTTTGTTAGCTATTGTGATGGGGGAATGACCTGTCTAGCTAAAAGCTGAGGGCTCATTAGTGAAGGTTGGCCATGGTAACTCACGAAACCATTTAAAGCATGAGGTAGAAAAGTAAGGGATGGGTGTCAATTAGCAACAATGGAGAGAGTACACATAATGATGAAAACATAAATATTTTGAAACTAAAGTATATCATACTCCAATTTTGTTAGAGCTTTTTATAAAACCATTTGAAACACTTAAGTAATCTGATGTCTACAAGATAGAATTAAATATGACATAAAATTTTAATAATAATAATAACTACTAAAATTTACATAACACTTACTATGTGCCAGGCATTGTGCTAAGGTCCTTTATTTGGGTCACCAATCTCAGTTAGCATCTTATGGATGGTTTAACATTCTCTTAGATGAAGTAATTTTTTTTAAAAGACAAGGTCTCTCCAGCTCACTCAGGCTGAAAATGTAGGGGCCCACTCATAAACCCAGTACCAATACTGATCAGCATAGGAACTTTAATGGACTCTGTTTCTAGTCTAGACTGGTCTGCCCTTTTTTAGACAACTTAGACAACTTAACTTCCTGGGGGTTAACATATTAACGCTGAAATTTATGTGGGCACTTGATCATCATAGCTCACTGCAATTCAGAATTCTTGAGCTCAAGAGATATGCCAGCCTCAGAGTCTCCCCCATAACTGGAATTAAAGATGTGTGCCACTGTATCTGGCAGATTAAAGTGATATTAATATCAACAATAGCTGCAACACAGGCATGGTGTGACATGTCCTTAGATGAACTGATATTAATATCCAGTAGCAACTTATTTTCTATCTTTATTAGATTTGTTTCATAACTGAATGGAACATATAACAAAACGTATCTAGAAAATTTATTTAGAAATAAACAAAAACTATTTTAAGAAAGCTAGCCTTATTATGCCATGTATAACATCTAAGAAACCAGCTTTGGGGATTACTGTAAGCTACATTTCATAAGAAACATTGTTAGAAGTCTTACTCTGGGTTACAGTTAAGTTTCTGTATGTCTTCATGCAAGTTTGGGACAGGAGCCTTCAAAGGGGTTGTCGGAAGCATATTTCTTTCTTGAAGAAGATTGATAACTCGTAGTCCTTCTGGATGAAGACTTAACCCACCCATGCTTGTGGTTAAATGATTAGCACCTAAGGGAGACTAAAAATATAATTTCAGAGTAAGTAATTTTCATTAAGTGCTCAGTTTAAGGTAAAAGCAGAGATAATGTAATGTTGAGGGGCTTGGCTATTTAATTTCTCTGCCAAATAAAACCTGTATTTTCCACGTCAACATATTAGCTATGGAGAAAATAAATACAAAAATGAAGAATTTTATATATAATTCACATTACCCTAACCAATTAAGTAAGTATGAAATATAGAAAGTTATCTTGAAATTTGCCCAAGTACAAAATTCTTTAAGCTAAGAAGAGAGAAACGGGGAAAGGAGAAAAAAGCATTTACCTGAGAAAATGGCTGCAGCCCACTGGTGTACTGCAAGGCTGTGGATGGCCTTCCTGACATATTAGGGAGAGATGTATTTTGATAACCAGGTGGTAAGGAGGGATATGAATAGCCAACATTTTGACTTGTTTTGGGATTCTGGCTGGCAAGTTGTGGTGCTGCTGAAAGAAAAAATAATAACTTTGAGTTGAAAAATACAGTTTAGAAATATTTTTACTAAGTAAGTCAAAGAATCCTTACTTCGTAATCAAAACCAAAACAGGAAATCAAAGTTTGAAAGTGCTTATCCATAATGAGTGCTTGGTTCAATCAGTTTAAGAATTTATTTTGTGAAATAAGTCAAATGACAAGCCTTTCTCTACCAGATTAAAATAAATGCAGTAACTTCAGCATAATGTATACTTTAGCTGTCACACAGCAACACAGTATATAATGATCAATCTCCAACTGACGTACACCCAACTAAGGGTAAATAGATTTCTCTCCCATTCTCTAACCCATTTGCTATTGTTTCTCCTCTCTATCCAATTTTTCACCTCACTAGATTCAAGGAAGCAGGGCAGGATTTTCATTGGCTGTGAAGAATAGTGGAGGATAAATTCAATACTGCTACTTTCCCATTCCTGTCCTATCTTCTCACATTTCTGAGAAGTTGATCGTATCCCTGTGATGAAATGCCCAGGATAAACTGAGTTTACTTTTCCTCTGAAAAACCAGTTGTACTCAAGGATTCCATTTAACTTCTAAATGCAGCGTTCATTATAGATTCTAAAGGCAGGGAGAAAAGCAGAGAGGAAGAAGAGAGAGAAATGATAGGAAGAAAGTCCTTAATCCCATATTTCCTACAGTTTAACATAAAGATACTTGTAAAACTTCAAAGGGTAGTGTGCTCACTTTATTATTATTTTTTAATTACATTTTAAGTTCCAAACTGTCTCCCTCTCAACTTCCCTACCTGTACTAGAGAAGGCAATCATTATACACATATTCATTCATTCATTCATTCATTCTCTCTCTCTCTCTCATTCGTAAAACCATATTATGAATACTTCTAATTCTCAGTTTTTTCTCTGGAGATGGATAGCATCTTCCTTCATAGGTCCTTTGTAGTTGATTTGAGTATTTATGACACTCAGAATAACAGTCATCCATGGTTATTCTTTGAACAATATTGCAGTTGCTCTACACGATGTACTCTTGGTTTTGCTCATTTCACTCATTATTTCATGTAAGCTCTTTCCATGTTTTTCTAAAATCAATCTGCTCATTTTTTATAGCACAGTAGTATACCACCACAATCATATACCACAACCTATTTAGCCATTCTCCAACTAGACATCACTTCAATTTCCAGTTCTTTGCCACCACAAAGAGAGCTGCTATAAATATTTTTGAAGATATATGCTCTTTTCCTTTTTCCCCCATCACCTTAGGAAACAGATCTAATAGTGGTATACTTTTTTTTGTAACTCTTTGTGCTCAATTCCAGTTTGCTCTCCAAAATGGTTAGATAAGTTCACAGTTCCACCAATAGTGTTTTAGTTTCCCCAATGTGCTCACTTTAAGAACAAAAACATAAAGGGAAATCCATCCATTCTGCAATTAAGGAGGGAGGAGAAAAACAAGGCAGCAATGAAAAGAAAAATAGGTGGGCTAATTTCCAGATTTCATAGTCAAAAAGAAACGATGCCAATCTAAACCATGAACTATCCCTAGAGGATTTACCTTCCCCACTCCCCTCCTTGCACCATCTCTGCTCATTCCTACTCCATATCCAGATTATCAGTCCCCCAACCAATTGGAGTTCAAGTCACAGGCCACAGAATCACCAGTTCTAGTACAGGAAAAAGAGAAGAGTCCCTATTCTTACTTCCAGGAAGGTAATGAAAAAAAAAAAATGAGTTCCCTCTGAACTGGTAGGATACTCCCTTCCCACACTCACCCCACCCTGGGAATCACCAGAATAATTATAAAATGTGTCCTGAATAAAAATTTTGAATAAATTCTTCCCATAGGAATTTAATTTTCTATAACAATTTTGTATAGAGTACCATATTCCAAGTATATTATAGATTAAACAGGCTTTTCTTAGGTTAGTCTAAGACTACCAATCACCAAGACTACTAAATAACACTATTTCTATAGGAAAAGTGAATGAGTAAAAAAACATTTACTAAGCATTTACCATGTGCCATGCCAGGCACTGGGGATACAAATACAAAAGCAAAGACCATCCTGCCCTCATGGAGCTTATATTCTAAGAGGAGAGACAATATACCTAGGGGAATGTTGATCAGGAAGGGCACATGCTTTCAGTTCTAGATACTCATCTTACACATGACCATTAGCAAGTTGAAGACAACTTGTATATTCAACTGATTTTCACACAATCTACTAAGTTACCATTCAAGAGAAATTTTTTATAGTAGGCAACTTAACTAGTACCTTACCCATGAAGCCACCTCCTTCAATTGTATCATAAGTATTCTCAACCACAGAGCCATTATTGGCAGTTGACGTATCACCTAGAAAAAGAGTTCACTGAAATCATTTAATGGGTTCAATATCAAGAATGATTATTCACAATGTTTTTCCAAAATTTGAACTATTAACTAAAATGTAAGGACTAAATAGTTTTTTAAGAAAATTTTATCATATTCCTGCATGGAAAGATGATATTTATAACTCATGAGACCTTTGTCAGTATTAGGGTAGTTGGAGGAAAAAAATTACATGTACGTATATATAGATAGATAGAGGGCATAGGGTGAGTTGAAGATTAAGGGGTCATATCTGGAGAATAAAATTAAGGGATGAGAGAGGATGATACTCGGAGAAGAAAGGGAGAGGGAGAATGGGATAAATTATCTCACATAAAAAAAACCCAGAAAAGTAAAGTCTCTTACAGTGGAGGGGAAACAGGGGAAGGTGAGAGGGAATGAGGGAATCTTATTCTCATAGGATTTGGCTTAAGGAGGGAATAACATTCACATTCAATTGGATATGGAAATCTGTCTTACCCTACAGGAAAATAGGGAGAGAAGGGGACAAGAGAGCAGGGGGATGACAGAGAGGAGGGGAGATTGGGAAAGAGGGTAATCAGAAGCAAATACTTCTGAGGAGGGACAGGGTCAAAAGGAAGAATAGAATAAATGGGAGGGCAGGATAGGATTAAGGGAAATAGAGTTAGTTTTTCACAACATGTCTACTAAGGAAGAGTTTTGCATAACTGCACATGTACAGCCTATATTGAGTTGCTTGCCTTTTCAATGGGGGGGGAGGAAGAGAAAAAATTAGAAACCTAAAGTTTTAAAAATATATGTTTAAAAAAATGTTTTCACATGCTACTGGGAAATAAGAAATACAGGAAATGGGGTACAGAAGTCTATCCTGCCCTACAGGAAAACAGAACGGGAAAGGGATAAGAGAAGGGGGGAGAGATAGAAGAGAGGACGACTAGGGGAAGGGATATTCAGAATGCATGCCATCTTGAGGTGGGGGGAAGGGGGAGATGGGGTGAAAATTTGGAACTCAAAAACTTGTGGAAGTGAATGTTGAAAACTAAAAATAAATAAATTTATATAAAAAAAGAAAATTTAATCATAGACTATACTCTCATATCTGCTGAAATAACAAAATTTAATTATCATTAGAGATAAAATAGTTGTGCTGACCACATACCAAATATTTTAAGTAAGAAACTGATATAATTATACTTGATTCTTTCAAATATTCAAATATCTGGAATCATATGAACTAAATGCCTAAATAGTTTGCTTTTTAGCTTAGTTTCTTTTTTAAAGCCTAGATGTTTTGACGTGATTTTTTTAGACAATACCTCAGTGGAAGGAAATACAAGTTCTCTGAAGGCAAAAATCCCATACATATTGGTAATGCAATTTTAAAACAACTAGGCACTTGAAGAACTACATCAACAACTCCCAAAGAGTTTCAAGGAGAAATGTCATCAAAATTAATGAATACTATTTGATGAAGGAAACAAAATGGCAAAAAGATGAGCCTAAACAAGGCTGAAATTCAAAGTGTAACCATCTGAGAGATCATACCTTTCAGAGCTAGATGAAACAACAGAAGCCACTGAGTACACAATTCCCTAATTTTACAGATTAGGAAGTAGGCACCGGCAAGTTAAATGACTATAATTTTTATAGTGCTCTTATAAAGAATCATATAGCATGCAATTATGACCACAGAGTTTGTTAGCCTGAGCTAAAACTGTTAGGTTCAGTCTTCTTATTTTTTTTTAAAGGGCAGTACAAAACCCAAATAAAATGTGACAACACCTTAGTCATAAACTAGGATATCTATTTTTGAAAAGCAAAGTTTATTCAAAAATTTCTGTGCTACCTGCCTGATAGAACTCAAGTTCCTAAGGTGCTAAATTTAGCAGAATATTAATACTTACAACTACTTCTATACCTGAAAATACAATTATACTGGTTCATGTGTAATCTTTCCAATAGTAAAATCTCCCTTGGATTTGGTCATCACAGATATAATAATAAATAAATTCTAACAATGCTATGTTGGTAAATTGTAAATTTTTTCAATTTGAATGAAGTTTTTAATTTCATGGAGTGCTATGATTACTAAATTCTTTTCTACTAGATAGAAGCTACTTCTAGAACAGGGGTTCTTAATCTAGGGTCCATAGATGCCAAAAGAGGCCTGTGTATAGATTTTATGGAGTCTGTGAACTTGGATGGGAAAAAAACTGAATCTTTATTTTCCCTTACCTAAAAATGAAATGATAATTTCCTTCAATTATGAATTTAGGCAACAAACCATTATTCTGAAAAGGGGTCTATAGTTTTAATTTAACTGCTAAAAGGGTCTAAGGAGACAAAAAAGACTAAGAATTCTGGCTCTACAACAACTGCAACAATTATTACTTCCTCTGCTGGTTTTAAATTACAACATATGCCCACCATAGTCTTTTAAATCTATTTGCAGGTTTCACTTCCCCAAATCATAATTCTTTAAAATGACATTGTTTAGTGGATAGAGCACCGGCCCTGAAGTCAGGAGGACCTGAGTTCAAATCTGCCTTCAGACCAAACAGTTGACATTTAGTAGCTGTGTGACCTTGGGCAAGTCACTTAACCTCAATTGCCTTTAAAAAAAATACCATTCAGATTCAGAAATTTACCTGCAGTAATTGCTGCCTCAAGGAAGCTAGAAAATATGTGATGTAATCCATAAACTACAAAGTATTTACTAAGCACCTATGCAATGCTGCTAGGTACTCAGTTACATTTTAAAATGCTACACACTAGTAACAGTAAGTATATAAATTACTAGTAGTGATTACATAAAAATATACCTACAGGTGGGTTTTATTGAATTTTCTTCTCTCTTTTCGAAATCTTTTTTTACTTTTGGAAATAAAAAACAAACCGCATCAACAAAAATTTTAAAAAACAATACCACCTTAAAAATCTTCCTCTCAAGAGTCATTGCAACATGGAAGTGGCCCTGGAATCATAAGCTTAGGTGGCAAAATGTAAGTGGCCATAGTATGGATTCATTTTGCTTGATTATGCTTATTTGTTAAAAAAGGTTTTTTTCCCCTTTTAATGGGTGGGAGGGTTAGAGTAATAAGAGGGTAGTAATGGTGATGCCAAAAGAAAAAAGGAGTAGAACCAATAAATACTTTAAAAAGCACACAGAAAACAAAAGGAAATTCAGACAGAAAAACAGCTAAGCAGGGTAGTTTTGAAAGTAATGTGTTGAATTTACTACATATGTTTAAAAAAAAAATCCAAGCAGAATTGTAGAAATATTCATGGTTTCATATAAAATTCTTTTTTCACGTGTGTCACTCTACATATGGAAACGTTCATAGTTTTAGGGTCTGTTAGGTTTAGAATTTTAAAAACCAAATTTTTAAAAAGTTAGGGCCTTACCCTTGAGACAACTCCTCCCCTCCAAAATAATTCTAGACAAGTTGAATAATGGTAGAAAATACACTAATGAAGTAACTCAACTAAAGAAATAAAGGTTTAGGATAAATTCATCCCTTTAAATGAGATAGGATATGTGAAAACACTTTGTCAACCAAAGAGATCTAGTAAAGCATAAGTTTATATTATTATTCCATAGAGTCTAACTGTGAGTTTCATAAACTTATTAAGTATAAGACTAAAATATCAGAAAGCTACTTCAGTACTTGATTTTTTTTTTTAAAGTTATTTCTGTTATGACACCTTACCTTGGTTCACAGCTGAGTTAAGCTGTGGTTGGGGTGGAACACTGTTTGATGTTTTGCTCTGGGGATCCAACGATCTTACTGGAGGTGGGCCTCCAGATGGAGGTGGTCCAAGTGGAGCTCGAGTTGGTTGATAAATTGTAGGTAAAGGCTGATTTGTTGGTGGAGGTACAGAGCCTATAGAAATATTGGTTTTTCACATCACTTGTAAAAGAAATACAAATCAATAGGAATATCCTTCCTTTATGAAATCTGAAACTATTCCTTCTCTCTAAATTTCAAGTAGTAACTCATTACAGGAATAAAAACTTCTACATTCAAGACCAACTTGATAACTTAGTTTTGAAAATTCCATTTTATTACACTCTTAAGCATTTTAAGTACGTCTCACCTTACAATTTAGAATGAAATCTAGGTAGTCAGTACAGTGAATGGCTTTGTACCTATGTACTTTAACCTTTTTTCAGTTATAATTCATTACCACCCCTCTGAACTCATCAAGACTCTGCTAAATATTCTTGGTAGAAGTCAACATTCAACTGATTTTGCTAATGGTGGAAAAAGGCTTACCAAATTATTTAAACTCCTAAGATGTCACATTGTTATTATTCAAAAAGCTTCCAATTTTTTTTCCTATAAACTAACAGACTTGTAAATTTGCATATTTTCATTTGTCATTTTCCCTAAGTCATTAAAGAAAGCTGATTTGTGATATGGAATATATTGAAATGTTTTTATTCTACACTATAGTTCTCAAATGATTTGAAACTCACACATGGAAACTTTCTATATCTTAAGGAAGACTGACTGCAGATAAAATACATTTTAATGTTTTCTCACTGTCATTGGGGACAAGATGAAGAGATCTAAGTTAGACAGATTTAAAGCTGCCTGAATAAACAGATCTAAAGAGTAGTGACTCATGGATCAATATAAACATACCTAGATGAAGGTTTTCATTACTGTATCCTCATGGTTCTGTCCTTGTCCAGATTCTATTCAATATTTTTACAAATGACTTGCATGAAGGCATACGTTATCAAATATGAGGATCACATAAAGCAGAGTATGATAGCTAACAGTTTGGAAAACAGTACTGGGATCCAAAAAGATGCCAATATGTTAGAAAAATGAACTGAATCCAAATATGTGAAAGTAAGTAAAATCTTATGTTTGGGTTCAAAATAATCAGTTGCATAAGTACAGGATTAGAGAACTTTGACTAACATATTGTTACATGAAAAAGACCTGGAAAGTTATAGGAAAGAAGGTGGGAGGGGGAGCAAGAAAGTAGTAATAGTCTTAGAGACTACTCTTCCCTCTTCCCTGCCCCTGCCACAGCTGGGAAAAGAAAGAGCTTCAGTAAAATATTTTTAAAATACAAGAAAGAAAGCAGAAAGAAGTTCAGAAAGACATAGACAAGCAGGATGGTTTGGGAACTACAACGAAATTTATTAAATGCTTTTTAAAAAATAAAGTTGTATGTAGGAGATTCATGATTTCATATACAATCTTTTTTCTAAAATTCATAAAAAACAAAATGTTTAATAGGAAAAGAACTTTTAGTATTCCTTGAATAATCAACATGACATGAGAGCCCAAGGAGTCACACTGTATTTTGCCATCGAGAGTCACCTGATCAATTTTAGGAAGAACTGATAAGCTGGAGTACATCAAAAGAGGAATTACCAAAACAGTTATATAACTTGAAACTGTACTGGGCAGGAACAGTCTAAAAAGCTGAGGGTGTTTAGTCAGGAGAAGATGTGCAGAAATGGAGAATGTAACTGTCAAACATTTGAAAGGTTGTCATATAGAAGAAGGATTTGATTTCTTTTCTTTGGTCTTAGAACATATAAGTAAAACCTAAACACAATTAGAGCTGATCAAAAGTTAAAAGGGCTACCTCAGAAGGTAGTGGAGGTCTTCCCAAGTGGACACTGAAGATCAAACATGCTGAAAAGGATTCCAGTTCAGGTATAGATTCCCTCTGCAGTTCCTTTCAACTTTGAGATTTTATGGTCTTACGGGAATTGTCACCAATATTACTAACATGATCTGCACCCTAGTTGCACTCTTCTTATGCACAAAGAATAAGTAGCAAAACTGGTACAGTGAAAAGAGCTATTAAATGGGACTTAAAAACCAAGGTTTTAGTCCCAGGTCAGATACTCTGTTGGCAGCTTTGTGACCTCAGGAAAATTACTTTTCTTCTCTGAGTTTCATTTTCCTCCTTCGTAAAATGAGGGTAGAAAATGAGATAATGTATGATTTTAAGATGCTCTTGCAGTTACTTTGACACAAAGAATTTTCTTAAAAACAAAACCAAGAAAAATACTGTACCACCTCTCCCCCACCTGTAAGTTGATCATATCCCTCTCCTATAGGTCACTAGGAGATGTGTGGAGGGAGGGCATATAAAGCACATTATTCAGCAACCTTTGTGGCTCAAGTAGATTTGATTTTTTTACCCCTATGATGATCAACAGTTTACCCAGTAAATGTTGTTCTATGTGTATCACATTATCTTTTCTAATTCACTGCTAGTCTATATAAATTAAAAAATTCTATGTAAAAAAAAAGTAAAAGAATAATTTATTTCAATAAGGTGACCGAAGTACTCATATTTAAAATCTTTCTGTACACTTGTCTAACTCTGGAAAACACTCAGAAACTATAAAAGAGATGAATATAAAACATTTCATTATTGAACTTGTAGCTACTTACAAGATTAACCAGTCTTACTGACAAAGCTGAGACAAAGCTTACTTCCATTTAGTTCTCTTACCTGTGACAGCACCCACATGTTATCTTTGGCAATACAAATAAAAAGAACAAATGGGCAAGGTCCATGACCAACTCAGCAAAGACTGCTTGAACAAGAACTTGAGATGCATCTGGTCACAAAAATGTAACAAACTTACATTACAGAGTATATATACTAATTAATATCTGGCATAGTAGTGTCAGAAGACCCAGGTTCAAATCCTAGTCCTGCCATTCTCTACATCTGTGACTTTGGGCAAATTATTTAACTTTTCTGGTCCTCAATTTCCCCATTTGTAAAATGTGAGGGCTGAATTTTTTCTTCTTTTTAGGGCAGTTGGGGTTAAACGACTTGCCCAGAGTCACACAGCTACTATGTGTCAAGTGTTTGGTCTGAGGCCGGATTCTAACTCAGGTCTTCCTGACTTCAGGTGCCCTGAGGGCTAAATTTCTAAGATCCTTTCCAACTCTAAACTCCTATGATCTATTTATCCACAGCAATTGCAGAGTTCTTTTACACTCTCAATGTAATTTGATAATTTTTTTTAAAACTCCACATTGAAAAACCAAGATATAGAACATTCATAACCTAAATTTTGTCCATTACAGTAAGATGATTCATTACGGTGTGGAAGTGACCTTGGATACACAAAAGCACGGGCAGGTAATACCAATCAGGAAAGGCTTCGAGTATGGGCATGATGGTAAAATTTACATCTGTCACAGACTAGCCTAGCTAAGTTCCAAGAGGCTTGTCAACAGGTAGAATACAGGGTGATTACTTTTATTAAACAAAGTTCTCAAAGACTAGCTAGCAGTAGCAAAGGATTTAGATATGCACTGCTGAGAATACCCACATCGATTAAATCAAAGATTCAGTAGTCAAAGTTTGGAAAAAGAGTATTCTGTGTCTTCTGGTCTTTAAAACTTTCACAGAATAACAGAGCATACACATAGGTCAGTGGAAAGGGGGTGGGAGGTTCAAAGAGCAGTGTGATTGGAAAGAGTAGATAAACACGACTTCCCAATGGAAACAAGAGGAATCTAGGACTATTAGCAACATGGAGAAAAAAATGAACTTTTAAAAATGGATGATACTTTTAAAAAGTTTATGAAATTTATATTCTAAAAGGGGTATCATAGACTTAAAAAATAATAATCCATCTGATCCATCTATACCTACTAGCCACTGTCCTATACCTCTCCTCTCTTTTATTGCTAAACTCTTTGCTTAACTCTGCAGAATGATCTCCAACCTCATCATTCAACTGAAACTGTTCTCTACAGTTACCAATGATCTCTTAATTGCCAAATCTGATAGGATTTTCGTCAATCTTCATTTCTTGACCTCTCTGAAGCCTTTGATACTACTGATCACCCTTATCTCCTAGATACTCTCTCCTTTCTAGGTTTCTGTAACACTGCTCTCTCCTGCTTTTCTTCCTACCTGTGTGATTTGATTACTCTTTCTCAGTCTTATTTGCTGGTTCTATATCCAGGCCATGCCTGCTAACCATAGGTTTTCCCAAAGCTCTGTCCTGGACCTTCTTCTCTTTTTCTATACTACTATTTCATAAAATGATCTCATCAGCTTTAATGAATTCATCAATCACATCTATGAAGATGATTCCAGATCTGTATGAGAAGCCCAACCTCCTTCCTGAGCTCCAACTGCCTACTTGTCACAACTAGATGTCTCATGGACATCTTAAACTCAAAATGTCCAAAACTCATTATCCTTCCCTCAAAATCCTTCCCTGTTCCTTATCTCTGTTATGAACACTATTACCTTCTCTATCACCCAATTTTCACAATACAGGTGTTATCCACAACTACTCAACTTCCTCTCACCTATCCAATCAGTTGCCAAAATCTGTTGTGCCCATCACTTGATGCAGGATCTCATCATGTCATAACTATGCTATTGCCACAGCCTTATTATTGGTCTCAAATCTCTCCCCACTCCAATCAATCCTCTAGACTCAGCTGCCATGTTACACTACTGTTCTTTAATCACAGATCTGAACATGTAAATACCCTCCCCCCCATTCAATAAATTCCAATAGTTCCTTCTTATTTCTAAGATCAAATATAAAATTATATTTGGCTTTCAAAATCTTTCATAACGTAACCTCTTCCAACCTTTCCAGTCTTCTTACTTTACACTTCTCCACATACTCTGATATCCAAGGCCACTAGCTTCTTGCTGTTCCTCATACAAGATACTCCATTTCCCAATTTCATGTATTTTCACTGGCCGTCCCCCATGCCTGAACTCTCCTCCTCTTCATCTCCTCCTCCTGCCTTCTCTGGCTTCCTGCAAGTCTCACCTAAAGTTTTACCTTCTGCAAGAAGCCTTTCCTTGTTCCCCTTAATCTTGGCATCTTCTCTCTGAGATCAAAGTCAGTTTATCCTGTATCTTATTTGTATATAGTTGTTTGCATGTTGTCTCATGTCACTTGACTGAGATCTTTGAGAGCAGTTTTGTTTTGTTTTTGCAGGAAGGAGCCTTTTTTTTTGTATCCTCAATATTTAGCACAGTGCCTGGCACACAGTAGGCATTTAATAAACATTTGCTGACTCACAGATTTCTCCATCTCCCTCCCTTTACTGCTTAAGTGCATTTACTGGGCTTAGAAACCAAGAAGCAATCTATTATTCTGAATCACTGAATTTTAGAGTTGAAAAGGATCTTTGACATCATCTAGGCCATCAGAGGCAGCTAGTTGGTGCAGTGATAGAGAGCTGGGACTGGAGTCAGGAAAACAAGTTCAAAACTAGTCTCAGGTACTTACCAGCTGTGTGACACTGAGCAAGTCACTTAACCTCCATATCCCTCAGTTTTACCTGCAAAATGGGGATAATAATAGTGCCTACCTCACAGAATTATTTCTAAAAAGCACTTAGCACAGCGTCTGACACATAGGAAGTGCTATATAAGTATTTATTCCCTCCCTCCACCTACTCCAACCCATTAGCATAACTAAAATATTCATTGTTAGTTAAGATCAAGGAGGAACTAAACGAGTAGAATAAAAGTAGTCCACGGAAATCTCTGACACTTGACAGCAACTATCCTCTGGGAATCAAGGATTCTAAAACTACATTTTGGGGAGGTCCATTTTGGTGCGCACACGCACGCATGCACATGCACACACACACACACCTACACAAGAGTCTGCCCACCAAAACCTTCTTAGTAGCTCTTCTCAATTAAATACTAACAATTTAGAAGACTGTATATTCTTTATCGTCAAGTATCCTAAGAATCAGTTTTTATAAATTATTTACCACAGAGATATAGATGCATGTCACTATTATATTATTTTTGATAATCCAAATGAAATTTAAAACAATATTTTTACTATTTTAAAGCTTCCTGTACTACCTAAACTGACTCAATTTGTAATCACAGATTAAACCAGTTTAGCCTAAGATACTTTTCAGAATACAATTAGTAATAAACATGTCATTATTTATTTGAACCACAAGATACTATTTTTCAAAAAGAAAAGAAACTGTCAAAGTCAGTTACTGATAAAGGTTTTTTGAATTTGATTTCATCCCAGAACAAATTTACTTGACTTTTTAAAAACTTGTCTAACACATATCCGAATAAAAGCCTGATAGCATTTCTGAAAATGTACATAACAAAAGAAGACAGAAATATTCTTAAAATCATTGTCAATGAAAGCTTGCCAAGAAGGCAATTACTATTTCAGAAATACTCCTTGTACATTAGTAGCTAGCTCAACCTCTCTACTCAGTGGTCCTTCTATTAGCATATCATTTCCACTAGAACCAGTGAGTTAAGATACCTACACTTGCATGCTTTTTAAAAAAACTTACACTAAATTCCCCCTCAGACACCTTATACTATGATATGGATATAACCTAATGGGTTCTAAAACACAGGGCAAAGTGATTTATGTTCAATCTTCATATGAAGAACACAACATAATAAATGTTTTTGGGCCACAACAACAAATGAAATCTACCTCTGTGGAAGAAGTGTTGATGACAATAAAGTCTGGAGTCTATGATTCATTTAAGTCATAATAGAAACTTTAAAATACCATGAGGCTACACAACCAAAGTCTACTTGTGACAGTTTCTGAGAAATGGCTATAATGTGATTTGGCAGCATGAAAAAAACAGTAAGGTACCATTACTTTGATATCTGAAAGAGTTGATGGGATAGAGCTTCTTAATCTGGGGTCTGTGAACTTTGTTTTTCTTTAAAAAATTGACTAACTGTATTTCTTTAAAATTGGTTTGCTTTGTTTTCTTTTGTATTTTATTTTATGCATTTAAAAACATATAGATGGGGTCTATAAGCTTCACCAGACTTCAAAAAGTCCATGACCCACAAAAAAGGTTAAGAATCCCTGGTCTAGTTCAATGTTCCTCCATGAACAAAGAACATAAGAACATAACCCCTCTTTGATTTAACAGTCTTTAAAAAATTCTATAGCCAAAAAATTGCATCATTTTGTTATCAAACTGGTTATGAGTCTCTCCAAACTTACTAAGGTTTATCCTCAGACAAAAGATGTACAATCTGTCACTATGTCCATAATAAAAATATTTCCAGCTCTGTCAGACCTCTTCTGCCTGGCTAAGCCTTCAAGAAACCAGGGTCTCCTGACCAGCACAGCAAGGTATCAGAGGAGGAATTATTAAAGATAACACAATTCAGTAAATTTAAGATTAAAAATGAAAACCAAGTATTCTCCAGGAAAAATTCTGGTCTTACCAATAATTACCTACAATTTTCCTTCTGACTTATTACTCTGAACAAGACACTTGGTCTACCTATGCTTTAGTGTTTTCATCACTCTTCAGACGTTAAGGATAAAACAATGGCTAAACTAATATAGCACAGAACAAAAAAGCTATTGTTACTCTATGCAGAAAATACTGATGGTGTTCCACCAGGACTCTGCTCTAACACAAGAGAAACTAAACACTTATCGTAGCCTTTTAAAACAGTAATACGGAAAGACTCTATCTGTACAAGTGACAGAACTGGAGGGCAAAAAATCATTAACCCTTTCAACTTAACTATCCCAAACTAATTTTTTAGAACATACTAATTATAATTATTCTCTCTCATAGAAAAGAAAAAATATACAGTACATGGAAATTTAAGATATCGCTTTGATCACTGGTATTCTTTAGATACAATGTTCTAAGACAAAAATGAGGGTGAGGAATGTTTCTAAATAGCCGATCACATGGTTTTTCCATTTCAGGGGAAATCACTCATACTGATGCTTATTTCAAAGTAACATTAATGTATAGGATCTGCACAACAGATTGTCCCTGTAACACTTTTCTGTAACCTGGGGCTGAAATGCCCTTCAACTTCATTATCCAGGCAGAACTGTACTACTCTCTCCTAGCTCTACTTCCGTCTCTTGCATTTAGATAAGAAAAGTGGAAGCATCGTTAACTAAGTGCCTTCTCCCATATTCAAGGTGAGTACTGACTTTAGGGTAAGAATATGGGTGTCCAAGTACCTAACATTTTGTGGAAATTAAATATAATGGGGAAAAAAATACTTTTAAAGAAGATAGCATTTTAAATTGCAATGATGATTTAAAGAACTATTTTATTCATTTCATCTTTTCCCACATCTCACATATTTTAGTGTGCATGTATATTTTACCCACTATTCATTTGTAATTGCTGATTATCATTTGCTGACTATCTACACGTAACAAATTTTTTCCCATTGCTATTTCAGGTCTGTCCCCATCCAACCTGTCTATTACAATCTATCATACTAACACCACTCCCCTGCTCAGAAAGAGTTAATGGTTTACTTGTTTCCTATTTAAACTGTTCACGAAGCATTCAACATCCTTCACAATCTTGCCCCAATTTACCTTTTCAGCTGTTATCTTCCACTACTCTTCTTCATACCATAAACTCTAGACCAACTAGACTACCTGTCGTCCTTTTTAAACACACACTCAATGCTTCCCACCTTCACAAACTCTGCTCATGCTGTTTCCCCTGTCTGGAATGTCTGGCAGAAATGCCAAGTCCTCTATGAAGGCCTTTATGCCTAAATAGAAATAATGTCTGCCTCCCCTGAACTGCCATAGTACTTAGTTTATGACTCTCTTAATGCAAAAAATACAAACAGCCACACTTTAGGGTTAAATGTGAATGGCTTCTCTCTCCTAGACCAAGGGTGAGGAACCTTCAGCCTTGAGGCCACATGCGACCCTCTAGGTCCTCAAGTGTGGCCCTGACTGAAAGCAAACTTCACAGAACAAATCCCCCTAATAAAAGGATTTGCTCTGTAAAACTTGGACTCAGTCAAAAGGCTGCACCCAAGGACCTAGAAGGCCACATGTGGCCCCGAGGCCACAGGTTCTCCACCCCTGTACTAGACTATAAGCTCCATGAGGCAAGAATTCTATATTTTATTCATTCTTTTATTTCTTATATGATGTCACACAATGGCTGGATACAGTAGGTGCTGAATAAATGTTTCTTCATGAACTCCGTCTTTCCTATTTCCAAAATGTAACACAGTAGAAAAGTACTGAAACATAAGGAGGGCAATAGATAAGACTGCAGACATGAAGTCAGGAAGAAGAGGGTTCAGATCGTACTTCTGACACTCAGTAGCTATTAAACCTTGGACAAGTCATTAAACTTCTCTGAGTCTCAATTTCTTGGTGTGTAAAATATAAACAATGTTGGCACATATAGTACATATCTTAGAGGGCCACCACTGTGATGTTCAAATGAAATAACGTGCAAAGCAGTTAGGAAAAAGTGTTCTTTAACGGGTAGTTATCATTTTTTCTGAAACTATATAAAAGAAGCTTTAAGTGAGAACGAAATATAAAAGAATGATGAAAAGATCTACTTCAATACATTCAACTCCCAAATAAGAGGGAACATGAGGTGGTCTTAGATGATATGCAGGAAATAAATGTTAGTAACTGATGTCCAACTCACTGCCCTAAAAAAAAAAACAAAACAAAAAACAACAATACACTAGGAATTGTTCTCAATGTCCCTGAAGTGATAAAAATCAGGGCAAGAGGCAAAGGAAACTTCCAGCTCCCCCCAAAATTCAAAATTATGCCTATTTTAGCAGCTCATTTTAGGGATATGTTAATCTCAGAGAAGCAACATGGATTAAAAATAATGCCCTAGAGAGAAAAAAAGGTATAGTTATCTGTTTAGTAGAATTTTCTCAATTACTTGATGTAAATTGCGCCCTTAGGTAGTCTTGACTGACACTAATTACTATGAAAAATAATTATCTATAATTTTTTCAGACTTTTTTTAAAATAGGGATTTGAACTTAATCCTACGAATAATAATTTCATGTTTAAAAAGTCCAAATGCTTCTATAAGAACTACCTGTTTTCATGTAGTTGTTTTGAAGTGAAGGAGCTCCAAGAGAAAGATCCTGATTATTTCTTGACAGATTTGTATTCCCTGATAAGGATGGCTGGGTCAATACAGGAACAAAATGATTTATTTTCGATCCCACTGGTGGATGACCATATTGCCAGTTTGAAGATGGTGAGGGGTCAGGTCCATAAAGAAAGCTATCAGAAGATGTTGGTACAGCAGCTGGGGTTTGAGATGAAGGTGGTGGTGGCATTCGGGGAACAGGGACAGTTGACTGCAAAGATGCCACTGGATTAGGTTCCAAGGGAAGTCTACTGAGAGTCTGCCCAGGTCCCTGATAACTATTTAATGAAGAAACAGTCTGAGAACCACCATAATTATATGGTCCAGAGGCTGGATTCAAAGGAATCTTTGCTGGTATCTGATGAGGGTAAGATCCTGGAAACGGAGAACTGTATCCTTGGCTCGCTGAAACTTGTGAATGCATCAATGGGTTTTGCACAGGACCTTCAGAGAAGAAAAAAGAAAAAAAAAATCAAACAATACATTTTTGCAAAAAGATAGTTTTCATGGTTTAATAAAGCTCTTTTATGAAAATAACACAACCTTTAATAAAATAAAATAATTTCAATATTCCTAAAATTCAAACATTTATAGGCTGAATATTATAAAGATTTTTAAAGTTTTTTAAAAACAGAATAAAAATGTTATTTCAGTTTGGATGTAGACATTAATCTTATTGGCCTCGAAACTACATTTCCCAAAATATCTTCCCTATAATGAAGGTATTCCTTTTATTCATCTACAACTCTAATTTACAAGACAATCCCAGAGTTTTTTAGCCTATAATTAGAAGGAAATTGCAAAAGGCAAAAATGTACTACCTCTTAGATTACATAGTTACAGAACTCTGACATTTAAATGCAATGAGATATTTTGATTATGAAATGTTATTTGGGCTGCTCAAAGGTCTGTTTTTGCTTACTTCTTAGTTTGGGCTTATTATCCAAATACAAGTGGTTACAGGACAGTCCAGGATGAATGATCATTAAAAAAAAAAACAAACAACCCTCATGCAATAATGCATATTTTTCTCTCAAAAAACAAACAAAAAAACACAACAAATCATCAACACCCAAAAGTAAGAGTAATTTGTTTTACACACAAGTCTAATAAGCTTGGAAATCTGGCTCCTAAAGCCATAGTAGATTAGAAGTAAATTAGCATGGAAAGAAGAAAGGACATTTATGTAGCACTGAAGGCCAAAACTATGAATTATAAAATGACTTCATCGTGATCAATGAGAACTGCAAAAATACATCCAGGTTTACATTTTCTTTGCAAATCTGGAGTGCTGGCCTAAATTGTTTTCCTCCACTCTTTAAACACTTTTTTTTTTAATAGGAAAGGGATTTATAGTTTATTGGGAGGGGATTTTTTCCCATGGGTTACAATATTAAATACTATAGCTAAGGTGGTGCAGTGGATAGTTGTAACACTGGACCTGGGATCAGGAAGATTTAAGTTCAAATCTGGCCTCAGGCACTTGCTAGTTGTGTGCCCCTGGGCAAGCTGCTTAACTTCTGCCTCAATTTTGAACTCATATCAATCCTGTGCCGTGCTGTAAAATGTGAATAATTACACCACCTACTTTACAGGGCTGATGTGATGGTCAGATGAGACATTTTTTAAATGCTTTACAAAAAGTATCTCAAAAATGCTACTGTTATAATAAATTCACACAATCATTACTAATTCACATTTTGCAGTACTCTTTTCTATGCATCAGTCACAACAGTAGCAACTTCAGTTTTATATCTTCACTTCAAGTAAAAAGGATTAGGTTTTAGTAAAAAATTTAATGACAAAATTACCACATACATAATATTCCCTCTGAAAATGTTTTAAACAATCACAATGATGTTAAAATGTAAATCAAATGTCTTCCAAAGGACAATCTTTCAGCATATTTATGCTCAAAATACAAATAGGAAAGGATCTAAAGGAAGAAAATAATATATGTTAAGAATGCAAAATATAAGGTGATTTCAGGAACACTAGACCCATGAAGTATGAAGGTGGAAAGTAATATTGTAGAAAGGAAAATTAAATAAATTCAATAAAGTAGGAAGATGAGTAAGGAACAAGGGATGCAGGATCCTGAATAAAAGTTGGAATTTAAAGATAAATAATCATTGGCATTTTTGAAAATAAGGATGACAGTGCCATTAATAGGAGACTTCAAGATGTTTAGATTAAATAAGAGTAGAAGACATTCAAAGTACTAATTATCAACACAATACATATGTCAATTTTTATTCATTTCATGTTTTGACTCTAATTACTTTCAACTCCTATAAATGATCCTCAAAATGATGGAATAAGCACTCTACACTTTAATGCAAGTAAAGCTATATTTAGATTACCAGAGTACCTGCTTTACTGTTGACAAAAAACTCTTTGGCTGCCAAAAAAAAACATAACAAATTAGTGAGAATTAAGACCTAAATCAAATGAGAAAACTATACAAAGTTGATCAAGATTTAGATAACCAATTCACACTTTACTCAGTTACATTAAAACGAATTCTCCACATTAAATAAACAGACATGTACGTACCAGCTCTCATCAATTTGTTCAAACATTTCATAAAGTAGCCGTTTGATGGCATTCAATAGTGTTTGACTCTTAACTATAAACTGGCCAAAGAGAACTTAAGAAGTCTTATAGCTGGAATTCGGAAGGTACATATGCATATAGCAATTCACTCTAATAAAATCTTTCTAGACAACCTATGGATAACCTCTGTGATTCCAAAACTATATAGTTGCTTTTTTTATAAAAAAATTAGTAAGGCAGGCTAGTGCAGTAGAAAGGACAATGGCCTGGGAGTCCTTTGTCCCCAGTCTGACTTTTACTAGTTGCATGCCCTAATTAAGTCCCTGGGCACCTCAGCTTCCTCCACCTTCAAGGTACCTGTACCATTTACCTCACTAAAAAGCAACACACACACATATACACACATTTGTATACATACATGTAACACGTAACTCAACTGAATTCCATTCCATTTGAAGTATGGAGTTTTCATTGTAGTTTTTGGTCAGCAAATGCTTAGGACTTGGAAGTGAATATATATGACATCAAAGTCAAACTTGAATTAACCCAATCCACTTTATCCTTATCTAAAGAAACACTTTTTCTGCAATGTGGTTAGAAACCTCTTCACTCTCAAAAAGAAACTATTCTCTTGTCACTGAGATGATGCTAAAGCGATCCTATATGTTTCGACTAGAATCTCATGGAAGTTCATACTTTTAAATAATACTTTAGAGACCTAGGTACAATGCAAAGCTTTCAAAATGAATATAAATTAAAGTTAAAGAACTAAAGAGGGCATTTATCTATTGTGGTTCAATATATTTGTACACACTGCATACAAATATCTCCAATTCTGTCACTAACAACACTTAAAAAATTATTTTGAAATGATTATAGTTTTGTATCTTTTAAGTTTACAAATGTGCTAATAGATTTTTGCTTCTTGTATCACTGTAATTGCAATTACAGATTATAAGGAAAGGCAACAAGTTTTTCTATAAGTAGTGAACTCTATCATTCTTGAAACTTCAGATACTTAAAGTGAGTGCCTTTAAATTGTTCCAACTTCACTTATGCACATTGTTAAATAGACTAGAGATGTACTCAATTTACATAATCTTTATTTCCCTTAGTTTAATGGAATGAACATATTGTTCAGCTTAGCTCAAGATGCTGCCGCCTTTTCTTTCACTTATTCTTGCTTCTGCCCACACACTACCCTACACACAAAAGGACAATTTGTTTCTGTGGTAAATGTCATTGTATCACTTACAATGTATAAGAAATTGTACATTACTGCAAAATATATTACAATTATACATTATTACAAATTATGTCATAATTTAAAATTATAAACATTTAAAATACTGTAAGTGAATTCTCTTCAAATACCACCTTACATTGTAATACTAAACTCTCTTTTAATCAAAGAGGTGATGCAAAGTCCAGAAAGTAGCATAATAAATCTATTACTATATAAATTTATTATTTTTTTTCTAACAACATGTAAAACAGTTCAAATCCCAATCAATGATCAACTAGTAAGTTAGAAAGGAACTACCAACTGTTTTCCTCTCAAGTACATTCAATTAAAAAGTTACATTTGAAGTCAATTTTGGGAATCCGAGACATGCCATAAAATGACAAGACACTCCCATTCCAAATAACAAACCTATCAAACTTAGGGTGCTACATGTATATTTCAGGCAGAAGGGTCAGAGAGTTCATTGTAATTATTCTCCAATCTGCCAGTAGGAACTCCTTTAAAATGTTTCTCAACTTCTCTACCTTGTTCAAAAGTTAAGCAGTATGTCTGGAAAGAACTCTCCACCTCTCAGAATTCCCATCTTCCTTTGATGGTGATTTCCCTAGTTACTACTGCTCTCTTCTGCCTCAAAACACCTTGCATTTACTAATCTATTTACATACTGTATTTTCTCAGTAAAATTCATACACCAGCAAGTACTAAGCACCCACTATTTTCCAGGAACCATGGTCTAGGGATACAAGAACAAAGAATAAAACAACCGTTTTCTTACAGGGAGCAAGCTCACTTCTCAATGGGGTAGGCAATAAGTATATATAAAAACAGAGGATAAATATAAAGCAAAGAAATACAAATGTAAATAAAGTTGCCAAATAAAAGGAGGTCAAGATGAGGAAAGGCTTCAAACAATAAGGAGAGTTCAGGATCTGCAAAAGATTGTGGTGCCTAATTGCATTTCAGGCATGGGGGATGACAACTCCAACCTCCAAAGGCCATGGCGATGGAGTTTCCCCTTGAAGAAGAGACAGAGTCCAATTGGGACTGGATCTAGGAGAGTGGGAGGGAAAATAATGTCCAATGAGGCTGGGAAAAAAATAGATTGAAACCAGGTTATGTAAGATTTGAAAGCTAAGCAGAGGGATTTATATTTGATCCTAGAGACAAGAGGAAGCCAATGGAATTGATTATGAGTCACATGGTCAGACCTGCACTTAAGAAAAAATTACTTTGGCATCAATGTGTAGGATGCACTGATTTGGGCAGAGACTTATTGGCACGTTGACCAATTAGTATCTGTTGCAATACTCTACGCAAGGGGTAATACAAAGAAAGCCTGAACTATGGTGATATGTGAGTGAGAAAAATAGTCAGATATAAAAGATGCTATAAAGATAAAAATGGCAAAATTTGGCATTGTCAGTGCCAAACTACCCTCCTTCCAGTTACCCAGATTCATATTTATTATCTTGGCCCCCTGTCCTCTCTCTAGCTCCACATCAGGAGGACAGGGTGGTTAACAATGTCAAATAGAGCAAATCGGTTCAGACAGTTTCGAGCAGAGAAAAGACCTTCAGACCTGGCAATTAAGAAAACACAGGCAACTTTAGAGAGACCAGTTTCAGAAATGTAAAGTCCTGGACTACCAGGAACTTTCATTTCTGTCTCAGCCCTGAGGCATAGGGACTAGAAAGCTAGTCACAAAATCAATAAGATCTGAGTTCAGAGTGTGAAACCTCCCTCCTCCCAGTCCCTTGACCTCTCAGTGACCCAGGCAACCATGACAAAGCAGTTGCACATCTTCATGGATAAAGTTTCCATAACTGGAGTTCAACATACAGAGGAAATGCCTGGTATCATAGATATCTCCTCCTTCACCTCTTTAAAAAAAAAAAACCACCACCAACAACCCCAAAGCCTAGCACCAGCGCCTTAGAAATTGGCAGGCACTTAAATTAACTGAACTGAAAAAACCCCCACAACTGAAGTATACTCAATCGACAACCTGAAATCTTTCTTGGCCTCAGTTCCTTCTTCCAAAACGATCGCAAAAGTTTCTTCCAGCTGTTAAATCCAACAATGCTATTCATTCTAGAATGAACAGGTCCTTCAAAGTAGCACCGACGAGGTGCGCCCTTGGCATCTCCTCGATTATTAAGTATCCTATGCGTCTCCTAAAGAAAAGCTACAAGGGTCAGAGTGAGCAGAACAGCAGGTGTTAACTCAAATTTTTCACTCTGGTAAGTCTGCACTGTGCTATACGGGATAAAGCACTGGCGCACAATCTAGGTAATCTGAGGAGAGCGACAAGCCCGGGGTGGGGGTAGGATTCAGAGAAGGCTTCCCGGAGTGGTGGCCCCAAAGCTTCAGTCTTGAAGATAAGTATTCCGAGAATCGCCCCAGCCAGGTCGCATTCCAGGCTTGGGGGGGGGTGATCCCGGGAATGGGAGCCCTGGGACCCCAACGAGGAGCTTGGGAGGAGCGGAGAGCAGCGGGGGAACGGGGCTCGAATCCCAGGCGCGGCCCCGGGCGAAGTTCTCAGAACCTCAGTCCCTCGTTTTAAACCTGCGGCTCCGGAGTCCCTCGTTTTAAACCTGCGGCTCCGGAGTCCCTCAGGGCCCGACTCTCCAATCGGTCCCTGACTTTCGGTGTCGGTGGCCCGGGCTCCCCGCTGAGGGCAACCCCCTCCCCCCCCCCAGCGCCGGGCCGGGGCACTCACCGTTGCTGTAGGGCGGCCCCGCGGCGGAGACGGCCCCGTTCTGCGCCGGAGAACTGGCGCTGAGCCTCCCCGGCTGGGCCATGGCGGCCGCGCGAGCTGCTCCGGCCGGGCCCGGCACAACCGACTCGGAGGGCCCGGAGGCGAGGGTCCGCGAGCGGTCGGGCGGGAGGGCGGTGGCGGCGCCTTCAGGCTCTCGTCATGCGGCCCGCAGCGGCCCGGCCCGGGAGCCAGCGCTGCCGGACAGGGGAGCGGGGCTGGGGGATTGGGGGAGGACTGGGGGGAGGGAGGGGGACGAAAAAGTGGAGGAAGAGGAGGCGGGGAGGGGGACCGGGGAGAAGGGAGGCCCTCGCCGGAAGTGCCTGTCAACCGCCCGGCCGCGCAGGCGCACGACGTACACGTGGCACTTCCTCCTAGTGGGCCGGGACGGAAAGGGGGCGGCTCCCGGGGCTCCTTCACCTGCCGCGCCGCTCTCGCCGGCCTCGCCCTATGCGCTGTGCGTCACGCGTGGATCAGGAGGAGGAGTGAGAGAGGACTGTGCCCGCCACGTCATGGAGCCGAGCCTTTTGCCAGCTCATCCAGCAGTGCTGGGGAGGGAGTTTATCTGGCACTCGCTGTCTGCGTGGGTCACTTCCTTTCCCAGTTAGGATCATCGGTCTGGAGTTGGAAAGGGCATCCGAAGCCATCCAGTCCAACCCTATTTTACAGGGAGGGAAACTGAGACCCACACCAGCTTCCGTGCCTTTCTGGCACTTTGGAGAGTCGGGGAGTGGAGAGAGCCCAGCCACTTTAATATGCCTAACAGCTCTGGATATTCAGAGGGACAGTGAGATTGTCTGACCCCTTGCCCCCACTTCAGAGTTCTGTTCACTTTGAATGATCTTAGATAAATTGTTCTGGTTTTGTGCCTTGTGTCTTCATATACATAAGACTGAAATGTTTGTAAAGTTCTTCGAAATCTTTGTATGAATAGCATTTCAGAAATAGATTCTATAATTTGTTTCTAAGCCAAGCATAACAATGTCTAACCTCAAGGAATGGCTGCTAGACCACCGTCAGACACCCAAGCCCTGTTTCTGCTGCAGACCCTAACATAACAACTTGGGCCAGGTTCATAGCTGAGGGACCCTGCTTTTAATCAAAGGAGCTAGACCTCTCTGTTCTTATACTCATTGCATCCTGAACTCCACCCCAGCTCCCCTGGACAATTTTTGTTATTGGATCACATCTAGAGGCTCCATAAAAGGAGACTTTAAAAAAAACTAATGAATATACATGATTAATCAGGGATAGGACAGTTAATTTATTCCTACACATAAAAGGTATGCTAAACACAGGATACTCACAAGGGTACATTTGACAAAAACAAACCTAAGACGGGATGTAATTACATAAGTAGTGTAAAAATTTTCTGTGAAGCTAATACTTAAGCTTCTCTATGAGAACATAAAGCATTTTGTAGGATGACTAATTGGGCATTTTACATCTCCCGTTGGCATTGCACCATGTAATCCATTTCTGGTTCATATCTGCTCTAGACTTGAGCCAATCTTCTTGTTAGTGGTTGTTTTCACTAATGAAGATTTCCCTGCTTCCTGCTTACTGTGACAACCACAAGTTCTCATTGGAACTGATGCAGTTTGGGGTCGCTGGGAACCCTGAAATGTCAGGGAACAGGGCAGCATCTGCCTGGAATCAGTTCAGGAGCTCAAACTTTCCAATCAAGAGACAAGTTTATCTTAAGGCCAGTAGAGCAGGAGAGATTCTTAGGGAACTTGCAACTTAATAGGGGTGAGACCAATGCTTATATACAAAAAAGACTGTGAAAGGATCTAGGTGGGATTAAGGAGTGGTAAGTACTCTGGGGTGGACCAAAAGCAATAGTGAAAGAAATGTCAAGTAAGTTAGTTAGGTGATCTAGGTGGGCTGGGGTGGGCCAGTTGCCTTGGGTGGAAGGTGCCAGTGATCTGGGCTGCTGAAATGTGTGGAAAAATTCAGGGACTGGGTTGCTTTCAAAAACATGGTCTTTTCCTTTTAGGGGTCCAGGTCCCATCACCCCATCAGAAGCAGGACATTGGAACCTATAGAACTCACAAGGTTGCCTCTAAGCCTGAACATCAACCTGGAGAATCATATTTGGTCACCCGCTTAGGAAGGTAAGGCCAGCAGAAACTTAGGTGCAGATTCATCAAGTTAAGTCTATGCTCCTCATAGAGTGTTGCATAGAGGTGTGGAGAAACCCCCAAAAACATACAGGAGAGCCAAAGGAAAGAGCATACTACTTGCTGAAAGGAAGAGATGCAACCAAGATCTCAAGCAGGAAGCTTTTTGTTTTTTGAACTCAGGCCTTCCCGACCCTACACTAAACTGAAAAATCCTTTCAGAGCTGAGCCACCACATGGCCAGATGTTATTGTTATTGTTCAATTGTGTCCCCATGGACCATAGCTCACCAGGCCCTTCTGTCCTTCACTGTCTCCTGAGTGTGTTCAAACTCATGTTCCTTGACACATCTATACCTCTCATCTTCTGCCATCCTCTTTTCCTTTTGCCTTCAATCTTTCCTGACATCAGGGTCTTTTCTGGTGAGTCCTGTCTCAGCTTCAGTATTTAACCTTCCAATGAATAGCCTGAATTAATTTCTTTAAGTATTGACTGATTTGATCTCCTTGCTGTCCAAAGAGAGGTCTCAAAAGTCTTCTCTAACATCACAATTCAAAAGCATCAATTCTGTGGCACTTAGATTTCCTAATAGTCCAAATCTCAAAGCCATACCTTGCTACTGAAACAATAGCAGCTTTGACTATATGGACCTTTGTCAGCGAAGTGATGTCTCTGCTTTTTCCTGTGCTGTCCAGATTTGCCATAGCTTTCCTTCCAAGAAGCAAGCATCTTTTAATTTCATGGCTACAATTGCCTTCTGCAGTGATCTTTGAGCCCAAAAATATAAAATCTGACACTGCTTCTATTTCTTCTCCCTTTATTTGCCAGGAAGTGATGGGACCAGTTGCCAAGATTTTAATTTTTTTTTTTATGTTAAACTTGAAGCCAGCTTTTACTCTGTCTTCTCACCTTCATCAAGAGGCTTCTTAATTCTTCACTTTCTGCATATCTGAGATTGTTGATATTCCTTACAACAACCTTAGTTCCAACTTTTGATTTGTCTACCCTGGCATTTTGCATGATGTACTCTATGTAGAAGTTAAATAAATAAGGTGAACGTATACAGCCTTGTTATACTCCTTTTCCAATCTTAAACCAATCAGTTGTTCCATGTTTGGATCTAAGTGTTGTGTCTTGACCCACATACAGGTTCCTCAGGGGACAAGTAAGATGATTTGGTACTTCCATCTTTTTGAGACTTGCTATATTTTGTTGTCATCCACACAGTCAAAGGTTTTAGTGTAGTCAATGAAGCAGAAGTAGATATTTTTCTGGAACTCCCTTACTTTCTCCATAATCCAGCAAATGTTGACAATTAGATGTCTAAGTTCCTCTGCCTCTTTGAAAACCAGCCCACATTTCTGGTAATTCTCAGTTCATATATTTTTTGTTTGTTTGTTTTGTTTTTTGGCAAGGCAATTGGGGGTAAGTGACTTGACCAGTAGCTTGTAGAATCTTAAGCATAACCTTGCTGGCATGTGAAATGAGTGCAGTTGCTCAGTAATTTGAACATTCTTTGACATTTCTCTTCCTTAGGATTGGGACATAAACTGATCTTTTACAATCCAGTGGCCACTGTTGAGTTTTCCTAATTTGCTGATACATTGAGTGAAGCACTTTAATAGCACATATTTTAGGATTTTAAATAGCTCAGCTAGAATTCCATCACCTCCACATGGCCAGAATAGGCCCCAAAGCACACAATGTTGATTACAAGAAACACACTTGAAGCAGAGAGAGACAGACTAAAGGTAAAGGGCTGGAGGAGAATCTATTATGCTTCAGTGAAGTAAAAAAAAAAGCAGGGATAGCAATCATGATCTCAGACAAAACAAAAGCAAAAATAAAACTAATTAAAAGTGATAAATGGGGAAACTACATTTTGCTAAGAAGTACCAAAGACAATGAAGTAATATCAGTACTAAACATATGTGCAACAAATGGTATAGCATTCGAGTTCTTTTTTTTTACATTTTCTTTTTTATTATGAACTTAACAATCAGCAAGAAATGAGAACATTCCAATGTTTCCCATATATGTTTTGTGTCATTGATGCTTTTTTCTTTCCTTTAAAAAAAACAAACTTCTGTTGCTTCCCACACTCATCTCCTGTTCAAGCTAGATAATAGGTGTATAGTATGGATGAATATTTGATAATTGGATGAATATCTTCCCTTTTTAGACCAGTTTAGATGTGAATTAGGTTCAAGCATTGCCTATCCCCCAACATTTCCACCTCCATTGTAAAAGCTCTTTCTTATGTGCTTCTTTTATGTGGGAAAATTTCCTCCATTCTTTCTCTCCTTTCCCTCTTCTCACATTGCATATCTCTTTCTTACCCATCCATTTTTTGCTTTTTTTAAAAATTAATTTATTTTTAGTTTTCAACATTCACTTCCATAAGCTTTTGAGTTTTAAATTTTCTCCCCCAACCTCCCCACCTCCTTTCCCAAAACGGCGTGCAATCTGATATATGCTATACATATACATTCCTATTAAACGTATTTTCACATTAGTAATGTTGTAAGTAAGAATTAGAACCAATTGGAGGAGCCACCAGAAAGAGGAAACAAAACTCAACAGAAGAAAAAAAATAGCAAATAGTATGCTTCCATCTGCATTCAGACTCCATAGTTCTTTGGATATGGATAGCATTTTCCATCATGAGACTTTTGGAGAGGTCTTAGATCCTTGCATTGCTGAGAAGTAAGTCTATCAATGGATGGGCATCCCCTTGATTTCCAATTTTTGGCCACCACAAAAAGAGCTGCTATAACTATTTTTGTATATGTGGGTCCTTTTCCCTTTTTTATGATCTCTTTGGGATATAGCCCTAGAAGTGGTATTGCTGGGTTAAAGGGTATGCACATTTTTATAGCCCTTTGGGCATGGTTCCAAATTGCTCTCCAAAATAGTTGGATCAGTTCACAACTCCACCAACAATGCACTAGTGTTCCAATTTTCCCACATCTTCAACATTTATCATTTTCCTATTTTGTCATAGCATCCAAATTTTTAACGAAAAAGTTAAATGAATTACAGGAGGAAATAGTAAAATTATACTAGTGGGATATCTCAGCTTTCCCCTTTTACCACTAGATAAATCTAACAAAAAAGACCAAACAAGAAAGAAGTTGAGAAAATGAATAGAATTTTAGAAAAGTTAAATAAGATAGACCTCTGGAGAAAACTAAATGGGAATAGAGAGGAATATATCTTTTTCTCAGTGGTACATGACTCCTACACAAAAACTGACCACATATTAGGGCATAAAAACCTCATAGCCAAATTCAGAAAAGCAGAAATATTAAATGCGTACTTCATAGATCATAATGCAATAAAAATTACATTTAATAAAAGTTTGTGGAAATATAGATTAAAAATTAATTGGAAACTAAGTAATCTAAACCTAAAGCATGAATGGGTCAAAGAACAAATCAAGAAACAATAATTTCATTAAAGAGAATGACAACAATGAGACAATATACCAAAATTTATGAGATACAGCCAAAGTAGTACGTAGGGGAAAACTTATGTCTCTAAACTCTTATATCAGTAAAGTAGAGAAAGAGTAGATCAATAAATTGGATAAGCAACTAAAAAACTAGAAAGAGAACAAATTAAAAATCTCCAGTTAAATACCAAATTGCAAATCCTGAAAATGAAAGGAGAGATTAATAAAATTGAAAGTAAGAAAACAATTGAACTAATAAGTAAAACTAGGAGCTGGTTCTATGAAAAAAAAACAATAAAATAAACTATTGTTTGATTTAGTTAAAGAAAAAAAGAAACTTAAATTACTAGTATTGAAAATAAAAAAGGTGAATTCACCACCAATGAAGATGAAATTAAATCAAGTATTAGGAGCTATCTTGCCCAATTATATACAATCTCAACAACCTAAGTGAAATGGATGAATATTTTAAAAATATAAATTGCCAGATTAATAAAAGAGGAAATGGAATAGTTCAATAACCCTATCTTAGAAAAAGCAATTGAGGGGCAGCTAAGTGGCTGAGTGAATAGAGCTCTGCCCTTGGAGTCAGGAGGACCTGAGTTCAAATCCAGCCTCAGACACTTAACACTTACTAGCTGTGTGACCCTGGGTAAAAGTCATCTAACCCCATTGCCTCACCAAAAAGCAAAAAAAAAAAAAAAAAGCAATTGAACAAGCCATCAATGAGCTCCCTAAGAAAAAATCACCAGGACCAGATAGATTCAGAAGTGAATTCTAGCAAATATTTAAGGAACAATTAATTCCAATACTATATAAGTTATTTGGAAGAATACGCAAAAAATGAGTCCTACCAAGTTCCTTTTATGACACAAATATGGTGCTGATACCTAACCAGGAAGAGCAAAAACAAATAAACAAAAATGATGAAATAAAACTATCACTCTTTGCAAATGATATGCTGGTACACTTAGAGAATCAACTAAAAAATTAAGTGAAATACTAACAACTTTTGCCAAGTTTCAGGATATAAAAAACTCCACATAAATCATCAGCATTTCTCTATATTACCCACAAAACCCAGAAGAAAGAGATAGAAAGAAAAATTCCATTTAAAAGAATTGTAGACAAATGTAAAATACTTGGAAGTTTACCTGCCAAGACAAATCCAGGAACTATATGAACACAATTACAAAACATTTTTCACACATATAAAGTCAGATCTGAACAATTGGAAAAATATTAATTGCTCATGGATAGGCTGAGCTGATATAATAAAAAATGACTTTATCTAATTTAATTTACTTATTCAGTACCATACCAATCAAACTACCAAAAGTTATTTTATACAGTTAGAAAAAAAAACAAATTTATCTGGAAAAACAAAAAGTTAAGAATATCAAATGAAGGGGCAGGTAGGTGGTGCAGTGGATAGAGCACCAGACCTGAAGTCAGGAGGACCTGAGTTCAAATCCAGCCTCAGAACA